CATTGTTGGTGTCGTAGGATGTGGCTGCTGAGGAGGCGGTGACAGTGTTGATGTGGTTACTTCTCATATTATTCGATTTGTTATTGTTATAATTATTATTGTTATTGTTATGCTTATTGTAATCTCTCTTGTTGCTATTGTTGATGTTTTTGTGGTTGCTGCTGCCATCTGCAGTGGTGTCGCCCACATACACTTTGGCGTTGTTTCTGAATGATGTCGTTGATGATTGCGCAGATGATGTGGAAGAAGAGGAGGACGACACGGCTAATTTGTTATTATTATTATTGTTATTATTGTTGTTGTTTTTGTTATTATTATTATTATGCCTATTGTATCCTAATAGACTGTTTGACGAGATCAGCGAGGAAGCAGAGGATTTCTTGTTAGTCTGCGTGCCAGAATTCGGAATAGAACAGAGATATATAATATATATATATATATATGATGTTTAAAATACAATAATAATAATACATGATATATGGTTTCAATGTATGAGTGTGTTGCAAGTAAACAAAAGTGTAAGTGGTTCGTGAATTTGCGCTCTGAACACGCCCCTCTAGAACTATGTAGTTTCTCTTCGCTTCACTAAACTGCACTAGTTCTGCCACCAGCTACTGGTAGTCCATTGGGGAACTAGTGCTGGTTACCAGGGCATGCATGTGATACAAGGCCTAATCTTAACCCAATCGGCTTGAATTTTAATTTATGCTATGATTTCGATAGTGAGCGCTGGGAATGTGTGTGTGTGAGTGTGTGAGGTGTGTGTCTGGTAGCAACAGAAGCGTTAAGTTGTTCTTTAAACATAAATATACAAATACTTAAAATAGAGGGTACAGCTCGAAGCGCTCTATCTCATTTTTTTTTGTCTCTCACTCAACAGACTTTCAGTGGCAAGCATTTCTAGCATGAGGAAGTTCCCTTCTAGGTCTCACCTTGCTGTGGTAGGTGTAGTAATTGAATGTCTTCAGATAGGTGCCCAGGGACAGTACGTTGCACTGGGGGCACAAGTCTTTGGTGCGCTTCTGCATCATGGCCAGCAGGTATAGAAAATCCTCGGCCACATAGTGATCCTCCTCGAGAAACAGGACCAGACCTAATGCCGGAAAAAGGATCTGAAGTGGGGTTTGGCCTCAAAGTGATCCTTGCTACAGCATACCTGTGTGATAGCGGGTGACCTCCAGCTCGTTGAACACACGATTCGCCTTCCAGATCCAATGATGCTTCGTCTGCGTGAACTTTGCCTCCCGATAGTGCCCATACAGATCCGGATACAGCGCGTTGTTGCAGTTGCTAATCATGGCCCTGTTAGATACGATTATTGGTAAGTTATTTCAGCTATACAAAGGCACCTCCTGCATGGCAATACTCACTGATCTTTCTTGATATTCCGCTGACAATCGTTGGGATCGACGCCTGGATACTCGTGGGGATGCGTCTGAATGGAGTAGGGATAGAAGATCTGTAGCACTTTGCAAAAGTCTATCTGCTGCACCAGATCGTTGATGTCCTCGTCGTAGTAGTCGTGCGAGAACACCAGCAGCACCTTCGTAATGTCCTGCGCCTGCGCGAGGCTGACAATCAGATGGCGCAAGTAAGTAATCCTCGTGTGCACCTGTCAAATGATTCCATAATGAAGTTGATGCTGAAGGGTATTTCATTAGATGGACTCACCTGGACTACAATTATCACAGAGTCGTTTTGCAGAGGCCCAAATGTGTCCTCATTGAGCACCAGCTGCATGTCGTTGTATTTAACGATTTGACGCTTTATTTCCGATATGTTCGGCGGATGGTAGACGTCAAAGCTGATTGTAGTCGCAGTCGCCGCGCCGGAACTGCTCGAATTTAGCAGCAGAGCTGAAAGGGAATCGAAGTAAGCAGTCATTGGGTTTGCAATTGAAGTTTAAATTTTATACTCACGAGCTCCTAATACGCCCAATGTTCCGGTTGTTGCGGTGCCACTGTGATTGCGCGAGTGCGGCGTCAAGTACTTGTGCAGTGGGGCGGGCACCATGGCCAGGATGGCATCATCCGAGTCATTGGTGACCGCATCACCCAGCACAGTGTCCCGGGAGTCCACTGGAGAAGAAGAATGTCGAAATAAGTATGTGTCCAAGTGGCGAATGGAATCACATGACATGTCTTACAGTAGTTAAAGTTGTGATATTGCAGCAGGCCAAAGATGCAGAGCGCCAGTAGAAATATGCTCCGCATATAAAAGTTGTTGCGCTTCCGTCCCATCGATCCGGTGTTGGGCAGTGGTATCAAAATGCGACCTTTTATGTGGTTACAGTATCAAACTAGGTAATAAATAGCTTGCTTCGATTCGTTCTGGTCTCTGTTCGATTACCTCTCATTTTGGACATGATATTCTCGCTCTTACTCTCACTCTCTGACGCTCTCACTCTCACTTCTCAATCTGTCTCTGGGGGCTGGCGAAGCTAACGAAGAATGCTCACTGGGTGCGCACTTTCATCTCGAGATTGCCATCTGTAAAGAAGAATGTAATAAGAATCAATTGCTGGGTTCCACTTTCGATAATGATTTTCTTTGTGGGGATTATTCTGGCTGCCCCTGAGCCCTGGTTGCCACACAATGGCGAAACGGAATGGGAATGCTAATCAGAAAAGTAACGAGTAAATCACACATTCAATTACGACCTGCCTGGCCTCGATTCTCCGCCATCTCGAAACCATATTTTGATCGTACGACGCTTAGGCAGGCACTTACTTGAGTCTAAAACAGCAAATGGAGGAGCAGGCTCACGTATAGTAGCCCCATGGAGCAGCACAGCCACGACAGCCGACAGCCTGTAAAGTGGGCGGTTTTGCGGTTTACGGCCTCGAGTCAATTGGCATAAAAATAGATTCGGCTGGCGGCCCAGCAAAAAAAAGTTTCATTTGTGGAACATTCCCGCGTACGCGTAACTGAAAGCCCCTGAGAATCATTATTTTTCGCGTATTCCCCACGAACTAATTTCCTTCAAGCGAGATGCTTTCCGACTGGCAGCTGTGGGCGGTTTTTTGTCACATGGTGTAGTTGAATCTATTTTAGTGTACAATCGATCGAAGGGAAATTACAGCCGTAATTCCCTTCACTCTGCGGCAGACAAACGAACGTGAAACTATTCCAATTAAATGCTATGTATATAAAATCAATGATTGTCCTCCCTCCCCCCTGTAATCATAGCAGCCTTAGAACATTAACCAGCATTAATTGGGCCAATCGACTGCCAGCCGACCCACAATAAGAATCTGACTTTGAATCCAACAAAGTTCAGGCAAGCAGTCGAATAGCAAGCAGTCGAAGGTGAAGGGGAAATGCTGCTGCTTGCCATCTTCAAGTGCATGGGGTGGCTCCCACCTCACCCATCCATAGAAAGAAACACACTTAGTCGAGGGGGTGTGGCGGTGTGGGGCACCGAACAGGTATTTTTGGTTTACTTGTTACGAAATTTGATGTCAAAATCAGGCTAAAACCAAAACAAACCCGAAACTCGCACACAAATGCGCCGTTTACTTTGCATTTTTTGTATACTACACACGAGCGAATATTTGTTGCTCTTGCTGCTTTTTCTGCGGTTCGGTGCTAATAAATAAATACTTGAACTCACCTTTGGTTGAATATCCGCGTTCGCGGTGCGAGCACGGGACTTCATCTGAAGGCGCCGCCAGCAGCGTCATGATTGTGAGTATTGTTATGGTCGCAACTTTACTACGGCCAATCCAATCGATTTTTCAGACGCCCCCAAAGTCAAAATGCAGCGTAACGATTTTGCTTGCTCGCTGCCGCAACGCCAAATTCAATCACAATTACAGCTTTGGGCATTTCGCAATTAGGCTCTCGCAGATTCGGGGCTTATCTTTTAGTTAAATCATCGCCGATCTGTTTATCTATCTAGCTCTGGTGGCTCTTCTTATCTTCGAGATTCGTTTTCGTATTCATGCACTTTCGGTACACATACATGCTCGCAGCTGCTACTGCGGCTGCTGCGGCAACACACACGCACAGCACACAGACGGGCATCTTTTCACATATTTCACATTTCTTGCTTGGTATATGCTGCTTATTTCAGCTTTTTATGTTAATTAGCGTTTTTGAGTTTTCACTTTCCTTTACCCAGAAACACGCACAAACAAGCAACAACAACAATACCAACTAAATTTATTATGTATGCAAGTATATATGTATTGCGAATGAATACTATATTTTGATGGTCGACGCGAACCGCGGCTAGCGAGCAACTAAATTTATTTATGTTGATTACAAAAAATTTGTTTTTAACTAGTATTGTTGATATTCTATCGTTATATCGATATATTGATATTTTAAATGTATATATTCGATATGGCGATAAGCACATCTTCAAATTATATATTAATAATCGATATTTGCCTGGCAACATATTTTCCGCGCGCAACAAAAAATTCAATTTGCGGTTTCAAAAGTTCCACAATTTCGGGTCGATAATGGAAACGGAATGCTCCGAGTGATTTGGGTCAGTTCTTATATTTTGACAGGCTAGAATCAGTTTTAGGGACTGGTTTCACTCCTTTCTTTTGCAAAGTAACACCAGAAATTATGTCTAACTAATCAATGATGGATGGGCTTTCTTTGATCTTTTATATTATTTCTATATTTTCATACAATAATGTACGTTCATAATATACTCCACCCAGCAGTTTTTTTTGCCACAATGTGCCGCCACCTGGCGTTTCCCTGATACAAGTATGTCTTTGAAGATGAGAAGCCCTGCAAATCCTCAATCGATATATCAGGGGCAACGATATTACAATCATATATGATATCTGATGATATCTGAACGCTGATCGCTTAAGAATTTAATAAAGACGAAGAAAAGGAATGAATGTAGATAATGTAAATGGAGGGGCTATTTGTGCTAAGTTATCTTTCTCCTCTAAGTATTTTCGGTATATTTTCCAAAAGTGAAGGCACATTTCGGTATATTTGCGAGGGTCAGGCGGTATATTTCGATGAATCCGCGGTCACACTGTTTGCCATTCAATAATTTTGTTTTGCTATTCAATAAAATCTATTATTTATAACAAAATATAAAGTGCTACACCGCATGCAAAGTGCTCACGCCCGAGGCATCCGCATAAATCGAGCAACACAACGAACACGCAACATAACGTCCAAGAAAACCGAACGGCAGCATCAGCAGCAGGTCCCAGCAACAGCAACATAAAATACACAAAATATAAAGAGGAAGCAGCAGAGCAGCAAGGCACGCATTGAAAAGTGTTTTAATGCTCGCGAAGAGCTAGTGGAGCGATTTAATTACATTATTAAAGTGTGCAGCAGCCAGCCCCACACCGAAAATGCTTTAGACAAGGCGATTTTGCTTGGATTTTCTCTCTGGCGAGGGACCACCAGACCCAGACCAGAGTTGCCAGAGGACGAGGATGACTCCTGCCATATAAAAACGCGTAAAATTCGTCCGAAAACACGCATAGTAGGTGGTCGGTTGGTCTTCTGTTGGCCTGGCAAATAAGTGGCAGGCAGAAATGTGCACAATAATAATCGCAATCGCCACCTAGTGCCAGCCAGCAGTGTAGTGCAGGAGAGGGGAAGGAGAACTCTTTCTAAGGAATTGGAATTGAAACTGGAGTTGAGCTGAGTGCTGATACTGGTACTGGTACTGGTGCTATCCACACGAATACGCCGGCGACGACACCGTCACAGCCATCGCCACCATCGACACCACCACCACCACCGCCGACGTTTGCCTTGTTTAGCATTTAATTCGGTCTCCGTGCCTCTGGGTCTTGTTATCATTTTGTTGTTTACGTTTGTCTGTTGAACTCTTGTCCTTCCAATTGTGCAATTTGCCATTAATTGTTAGTTAACAATAACCCTCGTTGAGCATACAAATCAAAATGAAAGCATCCTTCTCACATTCGCCATCGAAATCGCGTCCAGCCGTTAAAGCAACAATCAAATTACACCCGTCCAAACCCACCTCGTCACCGCCATTAACAATTGACGCTCGGATTTGCACGATTTCGCCACCAGAACCCGTACATTGTCATCCAAATTAAACGGAAAACAGAAGAACGGAGACACGAATCTATAGGTATGTATTTCAGTTCATTCCATACTTAAAGGCAAGACTGTTGATCGTTCTCCATGTGTATATTTATCCCTTTAGTTTGCTGTGTGTTCACACACGGTCCTTCAATCGCAGCTTCATAAGGTGGGAACCAATGAGTTTGGATGAGTGTTTAACCAACTGATGTGCACCGTGGAGATGCAGATCAGGAGTCTAGCCTCATCCTGTATACCTAGTTATACCTAGTATACCTTTAGTTAACGAATAGGATGCCTTGCAGATGAAGTCAATGCAGCAGGTGATCTCGAGATATCCACTGATTTGGCTACCTCTGTATTCTGTTAAGTGGCAAGCACTAAGCAAGCTAAAGTTAGATTTTGTTACTCAACACGATCGAGAATCCGAGAGATGGCTTTTCTTATATCAAAAATTGTCGAAATAACAAGGAATATTTCTATACAATGAATTGTCTTCTGTATACACTCCCTAGAAAGTAAATATAACTATAAATGGATGTATAAATAAGTAGTTAGTAGACACATGGATCTCCAAATGGATCTATAATTGGATTTCTGTATTGATCTCTCATTGGATCTCTCGATCTATATATGATAGGATATCTAGACCGATCTAGGATTAGATATATAGATAGATATGGATATAGATGGAAATTCTGATGCATTTCTGTGGTAGTAGTGCATTGGGTTAATCAATGATCAAACATTCTAATAGATTACATTCTTCTTTCACCGCTTTCAACTTCCAAAATACTCCGCTTATAAGCTTATAATAATGTTCTTCTCTTTCTTTCAGGTACTGCATCAATCAACTGTAATATAAGGATCCATAAAAATAGAAAACTTACAACAAAAAGAAGAGTCAAGCGGAGCGGAATGACTAGTTGAAAACTTCAACAAATTGGACTACAACACAGAACCAGCTTCAACAATCTTAAAGGACTTGCAAACGTCTTGATTTCATATTATTCTCAAGCGTTGCCCAATTCTCTTTTGTGTTTGTTTCGGTAAGTGCATTCAGTTCTTCCATGGTGTCCGCTCTGGTGCCCACAAATTATGCATATTACATTTTACAAATTAAGGCGTAAATTGGAACCACTCGCACGAGAAATATTCACAACTCCCCCAATCTCTAAACTAGCGACAGCGTGAAATCGAATTACATATCGAAGGGTTTTTCGCTGTGGTTAGTGTGCGGAGTGCTGGATAGAATTGTATTTACTTGATTGCGTTTGAAGTATGCGACTCGTATCGAATATATTCACTTGGAAGTGTTTCTTTTTTGCACAGGGGACTCTAAGAGACTCCAAGAGGGGTATATTGGAATCAATTCGTGACTGTAACAGGCAGTGGGCAGTATATACATTCTTTATCAGCATCTGTCGGTCTATTCCGTTTGAGGCATAGTTGGTAGAGACTACACTTGGTAGAGAAATCTGATGTTTTGTGAAGTTTTCAGAGGTATAACAGCGAATCAAGTTTGTCTCCGTACAGCTACCTCATATCGGGAAATTTGGAACAATTTACATATTTTTTCACGCCACTAAACAGCTGCATGTTTTGACCCCTGGAGTAATGGTAATATTATCTTCGTATAGACGTAGATATTAACAATAAATTTCAAGGGAAATCGTTTCCGTCTCCACAGAGTTTATGTTTATTCCTGATAGCCTCTTCGATACTCGAGTACCCGGTATCTTCATGTCGAGGTATCCATTGGTATCATTTTTACTCATACTCAGAACTAGGGCCAAGACTTTGTTTTTCCTATATTTTTCCTGTGCTGCAGGTCGCAGGTTGGTTTGGACGTTTCTATGGAAAATAATTCCAACAAGTTTTAAAGATTACTTTCTGTCACTTTGGATGGTTGCTTCTTATTGTTTTTGGCAGTGTTTAAATTAAAATATGGCCGATGTAGAATTTATTTTCTGCTCTACTGCTGTAAGAAATTGCGTGATCAACCAACGACAAGTGTAATTTATGCCCCAAACATGTTTATGTTTATTCACAGAAGCTTCTCGAATATTTACACCGTTTCTAGCTTTTATAAATGCCAGTTGGATGCCTTAAAGAGCATTTAGAAATAGATCCGTTTATTTGGTTTACACTCAGTAATATGAAACACAATGTGACTGTGTCTATTTCGATTGCAGAAACCACTAGAAGTACTTTCGAATGTCCGAGTATTTATTTTGCTTTGAAATTGCAAATGGAAATTTAATATTTGAGTAACCAATGAATATAGCAAACTAACTTGATATAATATAACCCTCAACTAGTTATTTATCCTCTTCTGAGCTCGAAATGGATATCTCACCCGAGAACATTCACTCTTTCCGTTCTGAACTGGCAACTGGCATAAACTTTGCCAACAACCAGCAAAGTGGCAGCGTGCGGCACTATTGACCTTCGTTAATAGTATTCTGTAGTCTGTAGTCTGTGGTAGTATTTTTGCCCCCAGTTCACAGTTCTTCACACAGTTGCCGTGTTCTATGGGCGCCGGTCTAGACTGCCATCAGACGCCATCATTGAGGAGCGGCAATGGCGGTCGTCGTGTGCCGCCTTAACCTCATTAGAAACAAATGAGGCTGCTGCTACCCTCTACGCTCAGGCAGCCAGGAGCATTGTTTTTCCAACTTATTTGAATTTAATTTCCATGCCATTCCACATTTCAGTTGTTAAGTTGTTCAGTTCTGTTTGTGCCCCTGTGCGGTGGTAGGAAATTCGCTGATGGGAAGGACTTGCACGCTGCTGCCAGCGAGTGGAGTGGAGTGGATCGGTGTGGAGTGGGGCGCTAAATGCAACCCTTGCCTCAGCCCAGCATCATTCATGCCCGTGTACATGGACCACAGCACAAAATCCCCACAAACTCTCCTTTGGCTCTGTTTATGTACAATGCGGACAAGCGGGCAGGCGGGCAGGCGGGCGGTCGCGCGACTGCTACTTGTGGGTGTGGGTGTGGGTGTGGACCTGCGCATATTGGTTGCACACACAATGACTCCTATTCCTCATAGTGCCGTCTCGCTTCGACTGCCGCAACCACGGACACTTTGAAAAGAACATCCTTTGTGTGTTTGTTGTACATGAAGCATCATTATGTTGGAGGTCGCACTCCGCCAAGGATCCCGGTCTGCTGCTCATCAATTAGGTTCTCGATAACCGTACATAAATGACGTAAGCATCCCCATCCGGCACGCAACAATCCGCATGCAACAATTGTGTGTGGACTCTGGGGGGGGAATCTCCGTGTGGGTGCGGGCAACCGTTTATGTACTGGCTACCAGCAGGCTGTACCAGGAGCAGGGGTGCAGCATGGCTGCTGCTGCTGCTGCGGCTGGCAACGCAGGGACTCCGGATTGAGCAGGACTCATTCATACATTCATTCAGTTTGACTTTCCAGCTTAACGCTGTCGCTGTTCCGCCGCTCGTGCTCAACGCTCAACGCATTGTCATTGTCGTCGCCTCGTACTTTGTTCCCTCCTTTGGCTCGTGGCTCGTGGCTAAGATTTGTCAACAATTAGTGCGGATAACAAGCTGGCGGTGCAGCTACCAAGGTGCAGCTCGACTTCTCAAGTGCCAGAACCTGTGTCGGCGTCTTTTGTAAGTGAATATTAATGTGTCACACAGCCCTACCGCAGGCTCTGTTCTGCTCTGATCTGAGCTTAGGCTCAGCCCTGACTCCAGTCAGTGCGTCGGGCACCTGGGCAACCGTCTGAAAAACAGAAGCAATGCCTCAGGCATTCGCAACGAAGCCCTCATCTTACGCTACACTTACCTGTCAATCATCAGAGCTCTCACTCATAACTTGTAAAGAATGGAGAGCCAGCAAATAATAATCCTGCGCGCCGTGTACGCAATCTAATAGGGATAGCAAAGTGATTCATCTGCCTTGATCCCCTGAGGCCTGTTCTCATTCCTTTGTTGTGCTGCCCGAAAATTGATTAGAGGGCTCTGTGTAATTATTTCATAATTTCCATTCAAATGCATTTCAAAACGGAACGAAACGGAACGATTCCGAAAACATTCATTCGATATTTAAGAGTGGAGAGAAAGTGAACTGATGCGAAACGCAAGGGGGAAGCATTTTGCAGAAGCATTTTGATATTTCATTGAATTATGTTTTCATGAAATCAGAGCAAAAATCCACTTGAGAGAAAGGCAGCCGAAGGCCATCTGCTCCAGGTTTTGAGAAAAGAGTTCGCTGCAGTTTTTTCTCGGCAAATACTGCGAAAATCTGTAAAGGTTTAAAGGAAAAGCGGGGGAGTTCGGAGAAAGAGTTGAAAATATGATGTGATCTGATTTAGTTTAGTTTCATTTATTTCTAATTTGTTTACTTTTACTGATTTTTTGCTGTAGCTGTACAGAGAGAAAGTTGGGAATCTAACTGACTGAAACTTTGTTCAAAGATTTGTTCTTTTTTGCTCTACGAGTGCAGAAAAACAATTTTATGTGCGAGAAATTGTTTGGATTCTGAAGTTACGTATGTAGTTAGAAAGGTACAGCTGGTAACGTGTGTTTTATTGGTAGCTACGTAAAAATATCAGCGAAAAATAAGGCAGGCCACATGGGATCGATCGGAACATATTATAAGAAAATGTATAAGGGTTTTACATCGTACATACAATGGTTTTTTTGGCTTGATCAACACTTCCAAAACTTTTTATCCTCGTAGACTGCTAAAAGTTTAATCATTTTACAGCGAATCGCTAAAAGGTTCCCCATACCGTGGATTGGGAATTGGGTATCTGAAAGGTACTTGGCAAACCAAAAAGAGCTTCCTTAATGGTTTTCAATGGAAACACAAGCTGTACACCATAAGCTCCGTCTTCAAAACAATTTTATTACTCTTCTGCAGCATACATTATTCGCCTAAAATTCCTACAACAATTTCGAATTAAACGTATGAAAGAAGAGATATAATAACACTTCTAAAAGTCGTAAAGCTATTTTATTCTAGGCTTTCAATTAAAGTCTTTCTTTCTTGTTGCCGTCGGGGTACACATCCAAAAGTTTGCCAAAGGGAAAGTACCGTCGCAGAAGAAGGAGATAAAATATGATTTGTTTTACATTTTTTTTTTTGAGTCGTGTTTTAACTTTATTTAAGATTTGTCTTTCGCAGACAATTATTAAATTTCCTCTTTGGATACTTGGCAATCTTATTTCAGTTATCTCATAGGTTGTTCAGTCCGAAAATCCTAAGCCGGCTGCTGGACATGCTGTTATGTAATTATCATTACTAGCATTTGAACCACTGACGTGTGTTCGGTTCGATTGTGGCAGCCAGATGAGAATTTAACGCTCAGCACCATGGCTTGTGTCTTGTTTTACATAAAGGTCAGAATGCATCTTAGCACACATGCCCTTTAGGCTCTCAATCTCTCTTCTGCCACAGTTCTTCCCTCCGATTCAAGAAGAAATAATCCAATTATTCATCCAATTCCACCAATAAATAATGATGTGAAACACTCGTGAGCAACTTGCACAAATATTTGATAATAATATGCAATGCATTGCCGCCGTAAACAAAGTGAGGAGAAGGAAGCAGCAGACTTTGTGTGTAGCTTGACTTAAGTGCTAAGACAGAGGCTAGTGCCTCTCCTTGGGCTGCTGCGCTCCTTTGCCGAAGATTCTTCCAGTAGCAATTAAGCCATTGAGGTCGTGTTTGTGGATCTTTGATGTTTAGGGCCTCCACACGGGCGGTGGCGGTGGCGGAGAGAAGATGCGCCTGAAGAGGCGCCGCGTTGATTCCTTTGGCCACGAGGAAGGCGTAGAGAGAGAGAGAGAGAGACTCTTGGACCTCAAGTGGCCGTTGCTTGTCCTTCTCCTAGAGGCGCCTACTGCACCTCAGTCGCTGTCGCTGTCTCTGCCCACCGCTTTCGGCTGTGTCGAGCGTTTTTAATTGTGCCTCTCTTTGTTCTTTTCGCTGTAATGGAGTGCTATGCAAATGGCGTTTTGATGAATTTCCTTGGCTCTTTCCCCTTGCTGCAGAGGGTGGTTGGGGAGCGGCGCTTTTGCTTTGAACAACATCCCCTGTTCATCCCCTTTTATCATTGCGCGAGTGTGTGTGTGTGTGTTGCTGTGTGCTTTGTGCTTGTATTAGTAAGTTCTGTGCTGGCAGGGAAGTGCTACCCATCCTTCATCCTTTTTTTTTTGTAGTTTTCTGCTTTGCTCTGTTTTTGTTTGTCGTCCTCGTCCTTTGTGACTTGTTGTTGTTGCTGTCGTTTGTCGCTGTCGTTCGCTGGCGTCGACAAGGGCTCCCTCGGCCACCACCGCCCAGCCACACCAATCCCTTTGACTGCTGCAAAAAAAAAAGAAACGAGGAGGAAAACAAGAAGAAAAGAGAATATTTTTGATTTACCAAAAGCGCGATGCGATGCGATGGGATGCCATGGGATGCTGCGATGCTGCGATGCGATGAGAACTTTCTAGTTTTTGCCTGCTGCCTGTGCGCGTCAGACAGCCGCTTCTGTCCTCTCGTGTATCCTCTGGACCAACCCCACATACAGTGTGTGTGTGTGTGTGTGTGTGTGCGTATTTCTTGTTCAAATTTTGTACATAATGGATTATTGTCCCTTCCCATTGCGCCCTCTGTGTGCCATGTGCCTGCCTGCCTGCTGTGCTGCCCCCCTGCTCCTGTGACTGCTCTGCTGTATTGGTCGATATCGTCAACCAATCAAAAGCGCCCTCAAAATGGCCGCCATTCAATTTCTTTTGCATGTCCTTTGATAAGATGTGAGCTGGCAGCAATAAGAGTGCTGGTCATTCAGCTGCCGCATCCTTGAGTTGCACTTCTTATAACCGATTATGAAGGGGATTATAATGACGAGTGGAGGGGGGGGGGCAACTCCAATTTGTGCTTGCAAATTGGCTTTTCACTGATGACTTGATTTCACTTGAATTTGCATTCATATTACTTTTTTGCTGCAGGGAATTACTTACAAGTTTCCTATAGCCAATATTTGCGGCTGGAAATTTCACTCTCACTGCCAAATCTTCAATGTCCGTCGGCTCTCTTGAGTTGATCCTCTCTGATGCTCATAATTGCGCTTCCAGGCGCTCACGAGGTGCAGCCAATGGAATAGGCCAAACGGCAAAAATAACGGAAAGCCACAGCAGCAGATCAAACACCAAGAATACGTGCAATAAACTTTAACATTCAACAGTTGAATAAATTAATAATAATCTATTATCAATATCTTTCACTCTCTCTTCTGTTGCAGGCCTTGTCTAATTGCCTTCCAAAAATTCGCAAACGAGCGCATCTTCCATGTCCCAGATATTTGAAAAATACGGGCGTTTGTGATTTTCATACAGAGAAACGTTCGTTAATTGTAGTAGGCTTAGTAGCGTAGGGTAAATAGGTAAATATTTAGCAAGAGAGTTGAGCCAGCAAACGGTACGGAAAAAGGAAGGGATTCTGTATTCTGCATTGTGCGTTTTTCGTTCTCTTGGCTGGCGCTTGGCACGACAATCGAAGCCAATTTAGTGTGTGGCATGAGTGGCCATCATTTGTCGGACATCCACCGGAAACATGATGATAATGAGTGTAGTGGGCCACGACCACCTGTACCCGGAGAAGAGAGCCGTGTTAAAAAGGTGAGCAATAGGCCTTCCCCTCCAAATAGGCAATACCCCATGCTTCATGGTTTACTTTATGCTACAGATGACCGAAGGGATAGCATTGGATACATTGAAGAATTCACCGCCATCCTACCTGAACTGGGCCCGCACGCTTAACCATCTGCTCGAGGACCGCGATGGCGTCGAGCTCTTCAAGAAGTATGTCGAGGAGGAGGCGCCCGCCTACAACGATCACCTCAACTTTTACTTTGCCTGCGAAGGTCTCAAGCAGCAGACAGATCCGGAGAAGGTCAAACAGATAATCGGAGCCATTTACAGGTGAGTTGCAGTGGGGATAGACTATTTACCTTTACTGTATGCTCTTTGGGTTCTCTTACAGGTTCCTGCGCAAGAGTCAATTGTCCATTTCTGATGACCTGCGTGCACAGATCAAGGCGATCAAGACGAACCCAGAGCTGCCGCTCAGCCCGCACATATTTGATCCCATGCAGCATCATGTGGAGACGACCATCCGGGACAACATCTATCCCACTTTCCTCTGTTCGGAAATGTACATTCTGTACATCCAGCAGATGTCCGCCCTCCAGGAGCGCTTCAGCAGCAGCGGTGCAACGGGAGGATCGGGCAGTGCCGGCAGCAGTGGCAGCGGCAGTTGCGGCAGCAGCTCCACTGGCGCCTGTGCTTTCCCGTCGGCTGCTGTCAAGCAGCAACATGCGACAGCAGCTGGCGCAGCTTCGGCTGCGACTGGAGCTGCTGTCTCGCCTGCTGGTGCCTTCATCAACCTGCCAGTGAGTAGCGTGAGTGGGCCGCCAGCTGGCACATGCAGTGCCAGCGGCAGTGTGTACGGCCCCTCGACCTCGGCCAGCTCGAGTGGCTCCATCAGTGCCACCGACACACTGCCACGCAGCTCCACGCTGCCCACGCTGCACGAGGACTCGGTGCTGTCCCTGTGCGATGACTTCGAGAAGGTGCAAATGCAGGAGGGGGCCAGTCGGGTGCCCGTCGACTACCCGATGCGACTGACGCGGGACCTACTAATAGCAACACAGAAAAGAAGACTGGAAATCCGACCTCCTGGGTATGTCTGCAAAGCGATCTTAGGAATATTTTAAGTCAGATTGAAGGACACCCCACACACTCCTGTGTTTTTGCCTTAATTTTGTTTAAATTATTTTCTAATGATTTCCTGTAATTAACTCTCTCATCATTTGTTTATTTTTGTTTCTTTTACTTTTCTTTTTTTTTACATATGAAAATTTTGTACATGAACGCTCACAAAACACACACACACACGCACGCCCACTCGATCCCTGCCATACGCATATCCTTCATACGACACGCGACTGCCCGATACTTGATGATTTCCATTGTGTTTTACGTTTTTGTATCATTTATTCCGACGATGATCCCACATATCCCCCGACACACATTAAATACGCTCCACATTATACGGCATGCAAACTGAACACTGTCCCCCGTACTGCATGCGTTTGTGAATGCGAGTAGAGCCCATGGTTATGTGTACACTGCGAGCACCAATACCTCGTATGTCCCGAATTCGCGTGTTGATTCGGAACGGGCGAGCGTTAGCTCTGGCGGCCGCACCGACTCCGACACCATGTCGCTATCCAGTTGTTCCATGTGAGTAGCTAAGCGAGCGGAACACTGCCAAAGGATGCTGGAAACCCACTGACATGAGTTCTATATTCCATAATTAACTCTCTACTTTGCAGGGATGGTCGGCCATACATACAACGCAGACACAGTTCGACGGAGAGCAAAGCGATTCGCCAGAGTGCCATGGCGAATAAGGAAACAAACACCTTTCAGGTAGCTAGCGCAAAAAACACACACAAAAGGGAATGGAACCTGAATTACACACACATTTATGCTCTTTCAGGTGATACCTCGCACACAACGATTACATTCAAACGAACACAGACCGTTGAAGGAGGACGAGCTCGTCGCTTTGCTGATACCCAAGCTGGAGGAAGTGAAGCGAAAACGAGACTTGGAAGAACGGGCCCGCCTTGAGGTAGCAATTGAAATCTAAAGCCCAACAAGAGAGAGATTTAAATCTACTTTAATTCACAGAGAAATCCTGGAGCTGCACTGTTGAGCAACGAAAGATCGAGCGCCAGTGATCGCGCCTTTGCCGAGGCGATACGGGAAAAGTTTGCACTGGATGAAGACAACGACCAAGATATACTGGACCAGCATGTGTCGCGTGTGTGGAAGGACCAAACGCCGCATCGCTCACCTGGTACAATGTCCCCTTGCCCGCCAATACCGTCGAGAAGACGAACAGCCACCCACGACTCGGGAATGGTCAGCGATGGAGCGATGAGCTTAAGTATGATCAAAGCCAATCGAGAGAGTAAATCCAATTAATAAGCAAACAAATAATCCACAGGTGGACACTCCATGAAGCACTCGAAATCCATGCCGGATCACAGTTCCTGCTCGAGGAAGTTGACAAACAAATGGCCTTCCATGAACACAGACAGTGGTATCAGCATGTTCTCAGCCGATACTGCTATGAAGTACAAAGATCCAAGGTAAAAGGAGCTACCTATAATATTTATTAGCTCTCCATTTGATCCTTCATCTCATTCAGCTCCCGCTCTGGTTCAAGCACGGCCTCAAAACTGGAGGAAGCGAAACGAAGACTGGAAGACGAGCCACGGCGCTCGCGTCGATATGCCCAACCGCAGCTACAGCTACAACAAAGCCACATGATGCAACAGCAGCAGCCGCTAGCTTCCTTCAGCAGTAGCAGTAGCGGCGGCAGCAGCAGCACCCTGCCCCATCAGCCAACATCGTCGGCGCCACCGCCTCTGCCGGCCAAGCCGCCAGAGACGATCGTCGTGTTTATGTTCTGCGAGGAGCCCGTACCATACAGAATAAAAATACCCGGAACTCAGCCAACCCTGCGTCAATTCAAGGACTATCTGCCCAGAAGAGGTCACTTTAGGTATGGAATTTATGGCATTTCATTCAACTAAAATGATTGCTAATTGGTTTCCCTTTTTTGCAGATTCTTTTTTAAGACGCACTGCGAGGACCCGGACAGTCCAGTGATTCAGGAAGAGATTGTTAACGACTCCGACATACTGCCCCTATTCGGAGACAAAGCGATGGGTCTTGTCAAGCCATCCGATTAGTGTTTAAGCATTTAGCGTAGATTTTGTATTAAGGCAGCAGAAGCGTGTGGCAGCAGCAGCGTGGGGGGTGTGCTTATGCAACTTAGAGCTAGGAGCTAGTAATTTTCAACCGGGAAATCAAAGGCTATATACATTCAATGGGCTTTTTGCAAGCATCACACTACTACGAGTACTCCTCTCTCTCTCTTCTATGTGACGGGGGGGAGTAATGTATTTTTCTGTATCTCTCAATCCACCCACAACACACACACACACACACACGCAATTGGAGCATAAATTTAACGTGCAACCCCCCAGCAGTCCAAGCAGCAGTGGCAGCATCAAGAGATTATAGGGACAGGGGGAACAGACACCAAGGAAGAGGAGAAATTTTATGCGTTCGTCCTGTATTCGGATTTGTTTGTTACCTTTATACTAACTACGGACTGCCTGCAATAAATTTTGTTAATATTTTTGTAATGTGCATTTTATGATATAATGATATTAACAAGGTTCTATTCAACTCGACGAAAAATCAAAAGATAATCTGTTTTATTTTTGTATAATCTATAAACACAACAAACACAGCATCATTATACAATTTATGTATTTATAAAATGTAATTTGTAATTGAGTCAATCTCACACCACACACACACAACAAATTATTGTCCATTAAAAAAAAAAACACCCATGGGGCCATAGGGTCACATTTCCTTTAGCGATCCTCCCAGCAGTGTACCAAAACGAAACAGAAATTGGTACCGCGAGGGCTGAGGCAGGATCGGTTGATTTATTTAAATATAAGTTTAACACACACATACTATACATATTTTTTTAAGGAACAACTGAAATAACCGCAGAAATATGCAAAATGCAAATAACGGATACATTTATTATATCAAACATATTTTATTTGTGAAATGCATATAGATTTAATAAAAAAACACACATTACATGGATAGAAAATTTGATAGAATTAATTTTATTCGGATTTGAGCAGCCGCGGACTGCTCCTTCCCTTGCATTATTCTAATTTTAAGGCTCTTCTCCACATAACGAACTAAAATCTCTACTAAACAGCGGTGCAGTCGTCCCGTTCTACGTGGCTCGTGTAGTTCTGTTCATTGATAAAGGTGTGAGTGCATTTGGAGCAGTGAAAGCGCCTATGTCGGTTCGTGCCAGGAGTCTCGTGTTCCCGCAAATGTGTCTTCATGTTGTACATTTGAGAGAACCGCTTGTTGCACATGGGGCAGGCGAAGGGCTTGTCGCCGGTGTGGGAGCGCGTGTGGCGCTCCAAGTGGGCTTTCGTTCGGGTCTTGAAGCCGCACACCTTACACTCCAGTCGCTTCGTCTCGTTGTCGTGTATCATTTTGTGTTTGTACAGCGCCACCTTGTGGACAAAGCGCTTGGAGCACACCTCGCACTGGTAGGGCGTCTCTCCGGTGTGCCAGGCCATGTGATGCTTCAGTCGGAATTTGCGACTAAAGCGCTCCGGGCATTCGGGGCAGGCAAACTGTTTGACAGGCTCGTGGTTCTGCAGGTGACCAATGAAGCCGGAATACGATTGCAATGTCTTCCCGCACTGATCACAGACGTAACCCGGGAAGTGTTCGCGCTTTGTGTGGGCATTGTAGCCGCGCCGGCTGCCAAACTTCTCGGGGCAACTCGGACACTGAATATTTACTGTGTAGTCGCCGGAGCTGTCCTGGTCTTGCTCATCTTCGACATCCGAGTCGAGAAACTCGATTGTGTTATCCAGGTGGTCGTCAAATTCACTAATGGTCTCCTCCTTGAATAGTTCATCTCCGCCTGCCTCATCCTTCAGCTGCATTTCGCCCTCCTCCAAGGCTTCCTCATCATTTATAATTATTTCGTTTTCGATGTTTAGCTCCAGTTCGACCGACTGTAGCTCTTCATCCTCTTCGATAATCGCATCCTTCAGGATGAAGGAATGCCCTTCACCCTCTTCTTCTTCTGTTATTGTGCCTGCATCCTCGACTGTCTCTGTCTCGACTGTCACTGCTTCCAGCTCCAGGTACTCCTCCTCCTCACCGTCGCTCGCTTCACCATGGCCATCGAATTGGTCGATGTGCTCCACCTGGATGTCACTCTTCGACGACACCCTTCTGAGTGCCTTTGTGGTAAACGGACTGCTTATCAGTTCCAGAATCTCCGCACGCAGCTTCCTGGCGATTTGTACTGACTTGTGGTACCGCGTCAGCTTCTCACAGCATTTTTTACATATCGTGGACGTCTCATCGCTCAGCTCGTAGTTGGTGCCCTTTGTGCACTGTAGAACCAATTCACTGAGCAGAACTGGCGGGCGTCCTACTGTCTCAGTATGTATATTTTTTGAAACACGCACAGGAAACTGGCAAATGCAACAATTCATTTTGGCCGAATTCCAGTTCCAGAAGAGAAATATTTACAATTTACTCGGTATGCAGTGTGGCAGCGGATATGTCGATAAGACCCTCAAAAATATACCGTAAATAAAGCTAAAACTATGGGCTGCACGCTTTTGTTTTCTGTTGGTTTACTATTCAGTAGAACTATTTTTTGCATTTTATATAATTTTGTTTAATTTTGTAAATTTTGTATAATTTGAAGCTATTCTAAATTTTAAAAACAAATATACCGATTGTTGTCGGTATTTTCGTTAATTTTTCCAGCTGCCTATCGGGTGTATATCGGACAAAATGCTAAAATCAGCTGCTGCGGCACTACATGGAAAAAAATCTAATATCTTCCAAGGACTGCGACTGCTACACAAAATGTCAGAACAAGATCTTGCTGCTGTTCCTTCCGTGGACATTGACCCTACAGGCATATTTAAGTATATTCTGATCAAAGTAACCGGAAAGGAGACTACAGACGGTGTTGAGCCCAGCAAACTGATTGTTCGGGGCTATGGAGACTGCGAATGGCATGGTAAGTGGCATGGTTTCACACATTTCTAAATTTGTTTAATGTCGCTGCGTATTTATTGTAGCTGATATATATGAACGCACGCAGAAGATATGCAAGGGAGGGGCACTGGACACCGAATGCCTGGGCGGAGGACGAATCGAGCATAACCCCGAAAAGAAGTACATGAAAGTGTACGGACACTCCACGGTATGCATGCTGTAGATCAGTGTCGTTGGATGTTATGATTGCTATTTCGTTTATCTGTTACTTTTGCAGGGCTATGGCAGGGCGGATCACTCCGAGTCTAAACGAGTTCTACTAACCAAGTACAAGGACTACGAGATTGAAACTTCAGATGAAGGATACTAAAATAAACATGATCTAAGCAGGCGGGACCAACACTTCATTGACTTGTAACTTTCAAGGAAAGCCAGTCAGTCGATCAGTTGTTGGACAACTGTTCACATACCCCTCCTAAATTTCACATTTTGAATCCTCTCAAAATTAAAGTCTGTTTTTCCTTACAGTTGAATAAAAATGAATTATCTAAAGTACTTATCTCCGATTGGGCGGTGTGCCAAGCCACTCAGTGAGCATCAAAGTGAACTCTCGTTCTCGAGGTTTTGTTAATATTTTTCCCGAATTTCAGTACGAAGTTATACAAGTCCAGCTGCCAATCTATTAAAGGTGCCCAAAGTTGAGCTTGAAGATGGGAAAATGCTTTATTTGTTGATCATGGTTTACATGCATGGCGACACGAACAATGGCAAGACTGTTGTCCGCGGCTGGAACACAGATAGTCATGGTAAGACCGCTGATACCTGGCTTTAGTTTGGTTTCTCAGTTTGATTGCTTCGTAGATGGCATCTACGACAAGAATGTGAGAGCTATGGAGAAATTGGGACTGTGTACCAAGTGTCTTGGCGGCGGAGTTATTGATAACAACGAGGGTGCTAAGAAAATGAAAATTCATGGACGCTGTAAGGTAGGAATATTGCAAATGTTGACATGTCTTCAATATAAGCTCATAATTGTGTTTACCAATAGACCTTTGGAGCTGCTAACCATTACAAAACAAAGGATATTCTACTATCATCGTCCAAATACAAGGACTTCTCCATCACCGTGAAGAAAGAAAACTAGTTTATTTGAATTTTAAAAATATATTACATTCATTTGATAATAAAATACCAAAGTACTTGGAGTTATGTAGCTGGGAGCTCCCGGTTTTAAGTTTCGGTATATTTCTAAAGGTCAGACACCATATTTTACCGATAAGTCCGCGGTCACACTGCTGAGAAGTATTCACAACAAAAAAATACAAATTTTTCAAAATTAAACTTTTTTGCGAGCTGGCGTTGCTATAAAAAAGCTGTGCGAGATGAGCTCAACGCGTCCGCACTGCTTCGTTTGCGGCAAAATAAAGGCTGTGGGAGTACTCCAGCTAATCGAAGGCAAGACACGCGCAGACAGGAAACAAGTTTTGGAGGGAGGCTAATGGGTACGAAACATTTTTTTGCAGGATGCATTGTGCCAGGAACATTTAAGCCCATAAAGGATATATTAAAGTACTTTGAGAAAATAATCAACCAGCGCTTGGACCTAAAGCCGTCCTCTGTGGCGTGCAGAGACTGCCTGGAGTATTTGTTCAATTACGATCGGCTGGTGAGGAATCTCAGCCAGGTGCAGCGCCAAATTGCGGATGCTTTGCTCGAATGCCGCAAAAAGAAGACGGACCCCAAGCCATTGCCCAAGAAGGAGATTGCAAAAGCACGTGTGCAGGTGCCAGCATTTAAAATCATTCACAAAGAAGAGGTCGCGACGCCCGTGCAGCAGGAAACGACTTTATTCTGCGAACAGGCTACCGAAGAGTCCATTAAAGATGAACTGGAGTCAATGATCGAGGAGGATCCGGAGGAATTCCCCTTCACCGACAATGAGGAGAGCATGGAGTCGTCGGAGTCCGAGTTATTCGAAACTCTGGATGCCCCATGCCACATTTGCGGCGAACTATTTTCGAGCCAGGAAATCCTCGAGCGACACATCAAGACCGACAATTGTCAGAAAAATGAATACTCCACGTGTAGTGTGTGCGGCCTAAAGGTCAAAGATGACGAAGTGCTCGACCTGCACATGAACCTACACGAGGGCAAAACCGAACTGGATTGCCGCTACTGCTCCAAATCGTTCTCCCACAAGCGCAACGTGCTGCGGCACATGGAGGTGCACTGGGACAAGAAGAAGTACCAGTGCGACAAGTGCGGCGAGCGCTTCTCCCTGTCGTGGCTCATGTACAACCATCTGATGCGCCACGATGCGGAGGAGAACGCGCTCATTTGCGATGTGTGCCACCAGCAGTTCAAGACGAAGCGCACCTACAAGCACCATCTGCGCACCCACCAAACCGATCGTCCGCGCTATCCCTGCACCGAGTGCGAAAAGTCATTCGTGGACAAGTACACGTTGAAGGTGCACAAGCGAGTGCATTTGCCATTGGAGGCCACATCCTAACCGGCCGGCCAGTTGTGTGAGTTGGGGCTGGGCGGAAGTTTTTCCAGTGCTATTTAAGTAGAGTAATAATACTTATATACATAAAAAGTAAATGCAACCATTTAAGAAGAAAGAAATCAATAAGTTAAGTAAGCTAAAGAAAAAGAAACTTAGACGAGTAGCAGTAGCAGTTAATAGAATGAATAATAAGAGACACAAGCAAAGCCACCTGGAAGAGGATTTCCTCTGGCAGCACAATAAATTTCAAATCTTCAAAATGAATGAAGTAGCCCACAGATGAGAGCTGATAAGCTGCGGGCTTGAGCGCAGCACTTACAAAGAACGGATGGATGGGCTGGCAGGTACGACAGCGGATTTAAGCTGAAACTCGGATTGCGTGAACTCCGACGAAGAGGCAATAAAATTTGGCAGATGTTTGTCAATCCGAGCCTACCTAAATATTCCAAAAACTCGAAAAGGTTTGGCAATTAATCTGGCACTTACCTGACATTTTATGCACATATAAAACGTATCTCTTTGCTTGCAGTTCTCAGTCAAGAGCAGCAGCCATTACGGACCACACACGATGGAATCTTTGCTGCGACAATTGAGTATTTGCAACGAATTAATTGGTCAAGGTGCCGCCTGCACAGCGGGACACATTGACTGGCTGAATGAGTTCTGCGCGACATTCCTGGACTTTGCCAGTGAACTGAAAGCCCACCTGCCGGAAGTGGCACCCAAATGGGCAGCAGAAGGCGGCACCAATATAGATGTGGAGACGATCTTCCTATGCCTCACGCAGGTTGTCACTTGCATCACGCAGCTGGAGCGAACCATCAACATCGAAGGCGCCTACGGACACGAGGCAACGCCCATGACGCGACTGCACTTCCTGGACCGCATCGACTGGTGTGTGCGGCGCATCTATGTCTGCCTGTCACAGTTGGATCTACAGCAGGCAAATGGCCAAGCAAATAGCTTGGAGGATCACACATTTGTGGAGTTAATGGACCTGGCGCTGGATCATCTGGAGGCGTTCATGGAAACCCTCGCGAACACCACGCCCACGAATCTCCTCTGCATCGTGGAGAAAAATGAGCTGCAGCTGGGCAGCATTGTGAATCATATTGTAAGACATGCGCTGGCATTTGCCAATGTTGCACTCGAAGCGGACAAGAAGGCGCTGTCCGAACTGTGCGAGACATTGCTGAGTGAATGTGCCACCTTCCTCGAGGACTCCGGGGAGCTCAATCCGGGGCATCGTAAGCTGGAAGCGCTGTCCCTGGAGCGTGCCCTCTATGGCTTGGAAACGTATCTGAATGAGGCGCTGCTCCACCTGATCTTTGCGAGTCTTGTGGAGCTGGAAAACACGCCCATCAGGAAGCTGCGGCATGCCCCAGACTCCGAATTAACTGAGCAACTTGTCCACGATTTCGACACGAATATGGATCGCATTCAGCAGATCGGAGTGCTGGCCATAGCCTTCTCGCAGGACATCAAAACGAAGACAATTGTGCGCAGTTGCCTGGCCTCGTTGGAGTCGCTGGATGCATGCATTGTTCCAGCGTTGCAATCGTCGGCACAGCATCCACACCATGCTGACATACTGGAGCATCACCTCAACGAGGAGATGCTGATCTTTCGCAATCTCATACACGAAATCATCGACAGTCGTTCGCTGATCAGCAACTACCTGGACATGCTGGCGGAGAGCATACACATGGCGGTGAAGAGTCCACCCAGAGACCATTTGCTGATTGTACAAATGGGAAGTGTCCTGGAGGAGCATTTTCGCTTGCCTGTCAATCACTCGGAGCTCAGCGATGACGGCAAGCGGCTGCACAACGACTTTATGCTGATATTGAGCGAGTGTCTAGCTGTGGTCAGCCTCTCCACTCCTGTCGAACCCAAACGTATTGTCAAACGCTTGAAAATCTTGTACTCTGTGCTGGCCAAGCTGCGCGATGCCATAGATAAGAATAAGTATGCCCACGACGACTCCTCCTCCTCTGTACCTAATGGGAGCTCCAGGCGACAGTTCACCAATGCCACTCGCACCCTGCTGCGTAGCTGCAAGTCTAAATCCAAAAGGCAGCGCTCATTTGTCAGGCAAAGAAGGGATTACCTCGTGCCCAATCCTCAGAATTTTAGCATTTCAAATTCTATAAGCCATCAGGGTGATCTTATAAGTTTTCAGCTCACGGAAATTCTCAGAATAAACTGAACTCGAACTATAATAGCGATAAGTGATGCGTAAATAATTAAGTGATTAAAAAAAATTAAATAAATAAAAAATAAAATTTAATTTCCATACATGTTGCTGAACTCTTACGCAGCATGTTGCAACAGCATGCGTATTCGGCATCTTGGTTTTTCCAGTGCCCGGTCACACTGAAACATTAATTATTTTTGTGGTATTTTTGCGCATTTTTCGTGCGTGGCGTGGTTCCGATATTCCGACTCTATTGAAACTATACACAATTTCGCTCACCTCAATTGAAAGGAAAGGGATTGTCAGCTAAATAACTGATTAAAGCGGCCAAAAATGGATACGTGCTTCTTTTGCGGCGCCGTGGACGCGGAGGAACCCACCAGCGTCAGCTATGAGAAGCTCACGGCCAAAGTGCCGTCATCACAAAAGACGATTTCGGTGGTGCTCAACCATCTTGCCAACTGCATAAACACAAGCCTCAAGCTGGAGGTAAACTCAAAACTTTGCCCTCGGTGTTTCAATGAGCTGGCTGATTACGATACCATAATGGTAAATCTAATGACCACACAGAAGCGATTAACGAACCAATTGAAGGCAGCACTAAAGTCCGAGTATGACAGTCCAGAGCACGCGGGGGATTTGTTTGTCGAAGAAGCGCCAATGGAGGAGATCAACGACGACGGCGACGCTGAGGCCGATGCATTGTTTGTGGAACTTGTCAAGGAAGAAGATGATTCGGATACAGAAATTAAGGAGGAGTACGAAGATGAGGACTTCATTTGCGAAGTCGAAGTGGGCGAGTCGGATGGCATGCATGTAAAATCCGAACAAGATGATAAGGCGCCCAGGAAGCGCACCAAGCAGGAGTGCAGCCACTGTGGCAAAGTGTACAATTCGTGGTACCAAATGCAGAAGCATATCAATGAAGATCACTCGACCACGCAGAATCACATCTGCCCCATATGCGGCGTGATACGTCGCGACGAGGAATACCTCGAGTTGCACATGAACCTGCACGAGGGCAAGACCGAGAAGCAATGCCGCTATTGCCCAAAGAGCTTCTCCAGGCCCGTCAACACGCTGCGACACATGCGCATGCACTGGGACAAGAAGAAGTATCAGTGTGAGAAGTGCGGGCTGCGCTTCTCGCAGGACAATTTGCTGTACAACCATCGGCTACGCCACGAAGCCGAGGAAAATCCCATTATCTGCAGCATTTGCAATGTCTCCTTCAAGTCGCGCAAGACATTCAACCATCACACGCTCATACACAAGGAGAACAGACCCCGTCACTATTGCTCTGTTTGCCCCAAGTCCTTCACCGAACGCTATACCCTCAAAATGCACATGAAGACCCACGACGCCGATGTTGTCTATGGTGTCAGGGAGGATGCTCCTTCCGATGACCAACAAGTGGTGGAGGAGCTGCACGTGGATGTGGATGAATCGGAGCAGGCGGTGACCGTCATCATGTCGGACAATGACGAGAACAGTGGCATGTGTTTGATCTGCAACATTAACTTTGAAAACAAAAAGGAGCTCGAGCATCACTTGCAATTCGATCACGATGTCGTTCTAAAATAGACTTTTCATTTTTACTTTACTTTACTCTAGAAATATTCCCCCTTACCCACTTCATGTTTAATTCATCATATACTTAACTGATAACGAAATAAAAACAATGTTTTTAAAGCGGCAAATAATTACAGCTTTTGCTTTTCACTTTTAACGTTTCAAATTGTGTATTCCGATCACGTTACAATAAACTCGACAAAGAGCATTCCAATCTTAAGGTTACTCGTTCTCTTGAGAACGCAGACGTCCATTGGGATTCGTCAGACGGATCGACAGCTGCTTGGCGCGCTCGACGATTTCCTTGCGCTTCTTTGAGGAGACGGCGTGAGCGATCTCACCGCAGTAGATGCGGTTCTGCATGAGCAGAACCTCCAGCTCTCGCACATTGTGCACCAGGAATTTCTTGAAGCCAGTGGGCAGCATATGACGGGTGCGCTTGTTGGAGCCATAACCGATGTTGGGCATCAGGTACTGGCCCTTGAAGCGACGACGTACTCTGTTGTCAATACCTTTAGGCTTGCGCCATTTGTGCTGCAAACAATAAAGACCATGATTAGGCATACAGCAGCATACCACATTCAATTCCATTTACTTACCGACAACTTGGCATAACGATCCGACTGGTGGCGGATGAAGTGCTTGGTGCGCTTCTTGATGATCTTGGGCCGGTACGCTGGGCGAATCGTCATTTTGGAGCTGCAATTTTATAAATAAGACAACTCATCAGTATATTGAATACATATTGGTAGATTGCGATTTGTATTTATTTTTCCGTCCTCCACCGAGAAAATGTCAACAAAGTTTGATTGAGATTTTCTTGAGGAAACCGTGGAAACTCAAATTTAATTACAGCGCCAGTGTCTATTTTCACTGTTTTTGCATTTATTTATCGTGTAAATAGACAGCATGTTGCTCGGATGCTTAAGAAATATTCAGATTTAATAGGAAAAACGAACCGCTAATTGTAAAGAGCACGTCAAAAAGAGAGAAAAGGGATGTGAAGTTGGCCGCACTAGATTTTGACAGTTCGCCCAGAGCTGGCTAGTTTGGTTATCGATAGTGCTAAACAATAATTTAGTTTAGCAAATTCTGGCAAGGTGATGCATCTGTTTAAATGCTGCACTACGATTCATATTAAAACTATATTTTTTAAAATTATTTGAATAGCGGTAGAGCTAATTTTGTATCTTGATGTTCGTATCGATGTATCGCCACGATATGCTCCGTCTGCATCGATAGCACGCTACTCGTAATACCGTGGTTCGGTTCTTTATTATATAATTTAAATATAATTTAAACAAATCACAAGCCGAGTGTCTGAGCGTGGAGTTACCGTCGTGAACAATGGTAACGAGGTGACAATTGCACACATTTTCGCACTAGCCACTACAGCTACAGTAGCAACATGAGAGACGATGATGACACCGCGGCACAGAATGCACACGCAACAACAACAACAACAACAACAACAACAGCAACAAGAACCTCACCACCCACCAAAGGGCCAAAGTTGGGTGTATCGCGGTCTCGCCATGCGAGCATCTTCACGGAACGCTTCTTTGGCTCCTTCCAGTGGGAGGAGTTCGCCTGCGGATGCGGAGCAGCAGGTGTCAACATTTCCGCCACATATCCCATCTACAAAATGATCTTTCGGCAAATGCTTCATGGCGTGCCCATCACATCCGCCTTCGCACAGTTGCGGCATGAGGGGTTGAGCTTTCTGTACCGCGGCATGTTGCCGCCACTGGCACAGAAAACGATATCGTTGTCCATAATGTTTGGTGTGTTCGATGGCACGCGGAGATATCTGGTGGAAGACTATCGCCTGAATGACTACGGGGCCAAGGTGATTGCCGGCGTAGTGGCGGGTAGTGCCGAATCCATACTGCTACCCTTTGAACGCGTGCAAACGCTGCTGGCTGACTCCAAGTTCCATCAACATTTCTCCAATACCTCAAATGCGTTCAGGTGAGTGTCCCCCCGTAATACTTGTAATTCAGGTTAATCAGCTCGAACCATTTTCAGATATGTGGTGGCCCATCATGGATACCGGGAGCTCTATAGGGGCATAGAGCCAGTATTTTGGCGCAACGGACTGTCCAATGCATTCTTCTTTGTGCTCAGGGAGGAGGCCAGCGCGCGGTTACCCAAAAGGGCAAGTATTTACTTACTCATTTGACGTGTCCCAGCACTGACTGTTGTCCTTTCCCTTTAGAAATCGGTGTCCAGCAGAACAGCACAGGAATTCATTGCAGGCGCCGTCATAGGTGCCAGCATTAGCACAATATTCTATCCCCTCAATGTGATCAAAGTGTCGCTGCAGAGTGAAATGGGCCATCGGTCGGAGGGCAGTTGGCAGGCATGCAAAAGAATTTATCGCGAACGCGACAGCCGCATTGGGAATTTCTATCGCGGCTGTGCCTTCAATACGGGACGTTCCTTCATCAGTTGGGGCATCATGAACACGGCCTACGAGAACCTGAAAAAGCTGATGCACGAGCAACCGCAAATGCCACAAATACCGCACACAGCTCCGATATCAACAAGCAAGTGATGGAGGAGGAGGATTAGCAGGCCAAACGAGAGGTTGCAGGCGGTTGCATTATGTATTAGGTTGCATCTAGACCAAAGCTAAATGTACACACAGAAAGTTCTGTTGATTTCTGCCTTTTAGCTAGGAAATTTTTGTTTTCGTTTTAAGTCTGAGATTTAGATAAATTATTGTACATACAACAAAACACCACAACTACTACTATATCCTATAAGGGACACTCTCCTCTATCACACACACACACACACACGGACGGCCAAAGTTTTGTGTGGCTTTTGTGAGCATTTAAATGAACCCCCCAACCCCGAACCTACTGCAAGTTTAAAGTTTAATTAGTTAACGATAATTTGTATATACTAATAGAATCCAGTTGAATATATATATTTAAAATTAAATTGTGTTTGCTAGTGACGTTTGTGATTCATTGAAATTACTAAACTAAAAACAATTACTCTGTGAATTGAATGTTCTTAAATAAAAGTGTATTTGTAATTAGTTATGAGAGTGTATAGTTTCAGCATTAATATATACTCTAGGTTCTACATTTAAACTAATTTCTAATCATAATTATCACACATAACGAAATATCTCTTAAGTCGCCGCCTAACGCTTCCTCAGCGAGCTGCGATAGCGCTGATAAAAGTCCTCCATGGCTCTGTACTGTGGCTCCAGTATGTCGGGAATTTCCTTGTCCAATGAGGCAAAGTAAACCATTGCCACGGAGCTGCTGCCCCGCAGCTGCTGCTCATAGCGCCGCAGCTGCTGAAAGAAGCCCGAATTGGGACGAACCTGCGGCCGTATGGACTGCACGTGGTTGTAGGCTTCGCGCAGACTCATGCCCGCATGCTTCATCAGATAGGCCAGGCAGAGCGAAGCCGAGCGACTGACACCCGCCACGCAGTGGATCAGCGTGCAGCCCCCGTTCAGGCGCACCTCCTCGATGAGGTCGGCCACCTCATCGAAATGCTTGGCCAGGTCACACTCCGAACGGTCCTGGGCACTCACACGCAAATACAGTGGATTCATTACGCTCGAGAGGGGCGTGTCCGGCAGCTCAGGTGCCACATTGATGACGCAGCTCACGCCCAGCTTGTCCATGTAGGCGGGCACCACAGCCGCAGCGCCGCACAGGACGAGCGAGGGAGTTAGCCGCGACACTCCTGGATAGGGTGTGCTGTTGTCCTCCACCTGTGCCAGCGAACTGCAAACGAAACAACAAAACAAAACCATTATTAATGTGGGTAAACAAACTCATAAAAGCGAAATGTTTTTAACAAAGGAGAATCGAGGAATTTGGCCAAATGCAAAAACATCGCATAAACAAATGGAAGAAGGTAATATCTATCCCACATCTATATCTATTTGCGTATTACTCTGAGGCATCCCGGGCTGCGTAATTTTTGTGAATGGGCGGTGTGTGTCCCTACGTCATTGTTTTTAGCTCTGCAAAACAATAATCATTTGCTAAGCATCTGTATAAATATTTATGTATTCCACCTACACTGGTATACCGCTCGAATATTGTTTATAATTAGTTTGCGTGGAGTGTATATGAAAATAGATTCAAGATATTTTGGCGAATGCTTAAACAAAGATCATCGAAGATCAGTCATCAGCAGAGAGGGCACTGGGGACATCTCTATAATTGAAATATAAAGCCACACCAATCCAATCCTCTCCCTCCTTGGCTGTCAGCAAATATCAAAATGGAAGGGAAGGTGTGGTGTTGGCACCTTCCCGCGGCTCTGTCATCGCCCTCCAAAGAGCTGCCTGCCCACTGAGGAATGCATGGATGTAAAAATCAAAAAGACTGTGCACTTATTTTTAAATCCCACCAAAATATATGCCCTTCCAACCAGCAAGAGTCCCATGCTTGTGGCTGCTTGCCGTGCAGCCTCAGACCCACTCAGTGTCCGAATTTCAGCGCAGAGTATGTCCAGTGTGTGTCTGATTTTTCGGTTTATTATAGGTACGCGTTCTGAGTATGTTTACGGCGACTTCTCGTCGTCATTAAATAATAATCACAAATTCCGCTGGCAAGCGGCCAATATTAATCATCGGTCACTTTCACTAGAGCAAACCACTGGCATCGTCGAGAATGTTTTTGTCGATTTGAAAATAAAGCGAAATTCAAATATTTCGCACCGCCCAATGATTTTGTGCAAAAATAACCATTTAATTTGCATTATTTATGTATCTGTTTCTATATAAAGAAAGAATTCCTTTTGGCTTTCCTAATCTTATGAGAATTGTGCAAAAACTAGGCTAATCCTAGGTCCTATCTGCTGTAACTGTTCTGGCAGCCCCTCTATAGGGGCTACAGTCTGGGCTCGCTACTCGTCATATTTTACCTCTGGGGGGGGGGCAAACATTTTGCTTTGTGTTCGTTCTACATCGATTGCCAAAAATAATGAGCATTGCGACATAGAGGTCTAAATGTTCATTTTAGCAATTATGGTGGCCCTGAATTCAATTGTGAGAGTCAGGGACTTTTGATTGACAAATAATGCCAAGAATGCGACAACTAATAGATACTTTCATCTAATTAAAATATAAATAAAATAAAGTTCATTCTTCGCTATGATTTTTCTTGTAAATAGGACAACGGCAGCAAGCTAAAGGCAATGTGCAACATGTGGTGTATGTATATGTATGTAAAATTCCTGCATCTACACTGCTTGAAATTACACTGCTTACCGTTACATTTACTGCACAGCAAGCGGTGCATGCCCTGAGTCCCACAACAAGCAACGTTTTGCGGGTTTGGTTTTGGCGTGACATAAGCGCGACCTTGACTGGCGTAGTACCATTAAACGTAAGCTTAAATTACATATATACAAATGTATTCGTATAGCTACAACTATGACTCACTTTTTGACATTTTCGCTCTCAATATTCTCTTTGGCGAAAGAGACCTTCTGGAGCACACTGTTGCTGGCAGGAACGAGCGGGGCAATTATTACCTCTTGCATGGCTGTGTTTGTGTGTGTTTTGCTGTTGCCAACAAAATTTCACGCCACTTAATAAAAAATTGTGCGCTCCGCAATTAACGAATTCCACAGATTCCAGGCCAGGCCGAATGTGAAAACTATTTTTCGCGCTGCTACTCTGCTCTCGGCTCTCGTGATTCGGTAAACAAATGAAAGTTCGGTGGAAATTCCGACGGGAAATTATTCTTTTATGTTGGACCACAGTTGGTGATTCGCTCGCAGCGCAGACACGACTGAGCACTGGCCACAACAAAATGTTTTTGTTTTTTAAATAAACCAGCGCATAGGTGCGTAAAGGTGATGTTTGTGTGGGTGGAAATGGTAAATTGGCGCCTGCCAACAAACCTTTCACCTGTGGGAACGCTGCCAAAGCTTAAATGTGATTGTTTGTAAGTCAACTTGGGAAATAATACTTTAAATTGACTAAGTATTGTGGCAATGAATATATCACGATTATAGTACACAATACGTTTTTGAAAGAAAACGTGTTTGCACAAACTTGGCTAGCAGATTTAAAACTCGATAGTCACTATAAGAATCGACCATGTTTGGCCTGATTACACTAGAAGTTTTTTATGGTGCTTCACGTGGGTTAAGGTGAACTCAGTTCGTTTGCAGTTAGGTTTGCAGGTGTTAGCTGCCACAGCAGACGAGACGCGGGTGATATATATACTTTTCTGGATATTTTAAAGACGGCATGGATTTCAAGCAACAGCCATAAGTTCCTATTTTATTTTATGATCTGTCTCAATCTATATACTATATGGTTAGTGCGCCGGGTTTATTTGCGGTATATCCATGTGTATTTAGTTTTAAACTAAATTTGTAAACATTCAACTAAAAAGAAGTCGTGAAATCTAGCCAGTCTTGTGGAGATTTTATTGATACATCGTATAAAACTAGTAAACCTGTAATATCTAATCGAACAACAAATCGAGGACAATTATTTAACATGTACCGTATATTATGGTATATGTTTCAAATGAGAAGGCATATTTTGGTACACTTTTGAAGGCAGTGCGGTATATTCTATCGATAATTCCGCGGTCACACTGGTCACAGTACAAGACGCCAATTTTTGCTTACAAATTCTAATTTTGACAAGTTTTCCTTGAAAATGGGTAAAGAAAAGAGCGGAAAATCGTTCAGCATTGGAGATCTGGTGTTCGCCAAGGTAAAGGGCTATCCAGCATGGCCGGCCAAGATCACAAAGTATATCAACAAAAAGTACAATGTTTACTTTTACGGCACGGGAGAGACCGCCAATATAAAAATAGAGGATCTCTTTCCCTACGTGGGCAACAAGGAGAAGTTCGCCACCGACAAGAACATGAAGCGGGCCAAGTTTAGCGAGGCCATTGATCAAATTGAGAGCGCCCTCAAGGGAGAGGATTCGGCCCCAATCGATTTATCAAGCGCCGAAAATGGCGGGGCCGAAGAGCAGACCGCAGCCCCCGCAACGCCCGCCCAGTCCAAGAACGCAGCACAAATGGAAGCTTCGCCAACTGTGGAGGCGCCCGATACTCCAGCTGCAGATGCACCGGTCGCCGAGAACACCAACACCCAGAAGAAAGCCGCTGGCGCACGCAGGTCAAAGGCAGCCCCGAAGCATGTGGACGGCGACTCTGAGGAGGCTGGCACTGATTCCGCTGACGGACCCCCGCCGCAAAAGCGGCGCGTGCCACCGGAAGGCATAGCGGCGGCAGCCACCCCGCCCGCAGCAGCCAACGCCAACATAGGCAAGAAGTCAGTGAAGAAGTCGAAGCCAACCGCCGCCGTGACACCCATACAGAAGCGATCGCGCCCAGCAAATGTAAGTTGTAGGCCGCCAAAAATCACACAACAGAGAGTTAAAATTTGTTTTCCCCCCACACAGAACAAAGAGAATGACCTGTTGATGGTCTACATGCCGACAGCCAGGTGCCTGGGCATCGACATCAACTACAACAAGCCGGAGAGATTTGAGAACGCTGCCGCGGAGGAGTCGTGGATCGAGAAGTCGCGCAGGGAGGCCAAAGATCTGAAGCTGAAGCTGGAGTCGGGTCAGCTCGATCCCGACACGATGCCCGGTCGCATCATCATTGAGCCGTCGCGCAATGAGATACCCAAGCAGGAGGCCGCACGTTTCATTGAGGAGATCATCGAGCACGAGGACGCTTTGTTCATGGAGCGCGACTTTATACAGATTTCGCAGCAGCTGCGCGAGTGCCTGGGCCTGCGGCGCGCCAATGTGGGCAAGTGTCTGGAGCTGCTCGATCAGTTCAAGGAGATCGAGCTGACCAAGCTGATGCTGCTGCGCAATCCCGAGTGCGTGGACATAATGCGACGACTGCGCAGATATGTTGGCAATCTGGAGCTCTGGAAGATGGACGAATCTGACGAGATTGAGTTCAAGGAGAAGGCCAAGATTATACGCAAGGTGTCCACCAGCATCTACGAGGGCTTCAAGAAATTATTCAACTCAACCTCCGAGGAGGACAACTTCTGGATCGAGTTCTGCGAGAAGGTCAAGATCTACAAGAGCTACACAAAAAACGTGCACGAGAACATTCGCATCTCGCTGAACGAGCGCGGCTACGGCAGTCTCGTGCAGGCCAAGCAAGGCAACAGCGCAGCAAACGCTAAAAAGGAATAAACAAAATACAGTATAATGTTTTAAGCGTCAGTTACTAATCCAACGATACGATATAAGCCACCCCCTTCGCGCCCTTTGGCAATACCACAAACAATGTGTGGGCCTGTGTGTATTGGCACACTTATTGAAGTTTCTTTTTAGTTACTCCTAAGCATAGAACCACCAGCACAATTGAGCCCTCAGCTCAAGAGCAAACTGAACCTAACAACAGTCCTAGATCCTTACGATTTGCAAAGTTCTAATTGCATAATCGATCGGACTTAAGCATAACAAAACAGATGACACATGTATGTATATCTGATTACTTATTTCGCCTTCATAATCGACGAGTCTGTTGGAACACCCCTCTGATCCTTATTACTTCTATTTACTATGTGTGTAGAAACATTTGATCAACAATGAATAAAGCTATAGATGATAAATTACTCGAATAAACAATGTATTTATGGTTATCCACGTGTGAGCGCCATCCAGTGACACGTGTTGACGCGCGCCTAATGCTTCAAGCTGCGTCTTGGCTTGGGTACAGTCTGCACTTTTGCAGACTTTGGACTTTGGCTTGCAATTCTTCTTCCTCTATCCCCCTCCTCATCTTGTGATTGTGGCGGGAACAGTGGCTTCAATCAGAGATTGTGTTGCCAGTCACATTCCTTCGCTAATTGGGCTCCTGTTTCAGAATCAATCTTCATGTTTTGACGTGCATGCAACTACAGTGGAACCGCCAATAAGTGATCTATGACACAAGAAACATTTCAGCGTAATGAAACAGGCATAATGCCTGTTCCCATAATTCACCAAGTTGTGTCCGAAAAATAAAACGAAATCTACTACGCAATTCCTTATTTAAATACATAAAATAAATTATACCCGCACGCTCACGTTTATGTACACATAAATCTATAGTTAGTTAGTTATACTTATAGTTAATCAATTCGCATCCTTGGCATCGCCTATGCCGTCTGGCAGAATCGCAAACATGCCCTCAGACTCTGGCAAACAAGGAGAATCGTAGACCTTGCAGATGCGCGTGTCCCCCTTGCCCTTTCGCAGATACAGCCGCGTGGTGGAAGCATGTGCCAGAATGTGCCCGCCCACGGGCTTCTTGGCATCAGCGACAAACATGCCACCGCCGCCGTCCAGCACGGCCGTCACTTGGTTGGTGATGACCACAGCCACGCCAAACTCATCGGCCAAGCGCTGCAGCAGGCGCACGCACAGCCCCAAATGATTCTGACGGGCGGCCAGTTCGCCGCGGCCAGTGTAGTCCGAGCGGTACAGGGCCATGATGCTGTCGACAATAACCAAGGAGTATCTGCAATGGGAATAATAGGGGAGTTAGTGGAGTCTGTGAGGAAGGATTCCACATGGACATACCTCGTGTCGAACAACATGCCCGCAGCCATTTGGATCAGCTTCGTTTGCTGATCTGTGTTGTAGGCCCGTGCACAGGCGACGTTGTCCAGGACTCCAGTTTCATTCAGACCAAACCTCTGGGCAATGGCCGCCAGGCGTTCCGGTCGGAAAGTGCTTTCGGTGTCTATGTAGAGGCATTTGCCCTCGCCACCCTTCTGGCTAATGGGCAGCTGGCAGGTGACTGCCAGCGTGTGGCAGATCTGCGTCTTGCCGCAGCGGAACTCGCCAAAGATCTCCGTTATGGAGCCCGTCTCGATGCCACCGCCCAGCAGTTTGTCCAGCTCCTTGGAGCCAGTCGTCAGCATAACGACATCCGCGCGCATCTGGTGGAATGTGCGGGCGCTGAGGAAGCCAATTGGCACCAGCTTGGTGGCCGCGGCAATGATTTGATCCACCTTGGAGCCACCAAGGCCGGGTATGGCCAGCAGAAACTTGCGCGTCGCATTGGCCACAGAATCCACTGTGTGCAGGCTGGCCATTTGCAGCAGCTTTATGTCCTTGGCAGTAATATTGCCGCCCTGAATATGTACAGACAGGTTTTGTGTGTTTGTTGGCGCAACTAGATCCACGATCGACAGCAACTTACAATTAATTTGTTTATATTCAGTGGGCCACTCTCTTCCTCCTCCTCCACTGAATTGGTTAGTGCGTCCATTCTACCTTCAGCCGACATAGTTGACCGACAATCAGGTGTAGACGTTTTATTTTATTCGGTTTTCTTTTAATTTTCAACTTGCGAATTTCATCAAAACAACGCGCGGCCGCGGACTTATCGAAAACATGTGTCGGCTGACCCCCAGAAATATACCATTTCTCATGTTCAGAATATACCACAAATATACCTTCTTGGATGTTGAAACGGGGCAATCGAGTAAATTACATTCGAGATGATCTGCAGTTGTAAAATGTCACACCATCTGCATGATAATCGTTTTACTACAGTCATATAAATATCTTTCCATACCTACTTATACTTAGAATTAATTAAACAAGCCTATGTTCCTAAGTAAACAATTGTACTAATAGAAACTGTATATATACCGCACATTTTACCAAATAAAATCAGTACGAAGGAAAACTCTGACGTATTTACATCTCCGAAGCCCAATTTGTTCAAGTACCGATTGCGGCGACATTTTGTTACTGGTACATGAACCGGTGGCATACACATTTATATTTCAGCATACGATTGTCATATTGACAATCACGATAACCAAGTGAATCTACATCAACAGATTTATTTGATTTATTCAGATGACATTGACAGAAGCGAGCGAGAAACATGGGTGATTATTACTATTTCGATGTAAAAGTGTAAGTAGGGACAACAAACGAAAACTCCATGTCCATAATTTAACTTCTTTTCTTTTCGACAGAAAGCTCCGCTATCCCGAGGCTGTTCTTTTCACGCCCATCTACTTTCGGGGCTGTGTTCTCAGCGCTCTGGAGAGCTTCTTTGGCGATCTGGGAGGCAAGACCCAAATGGATATTGTTAAATGTTGTTCCAAGCAGCACCGCATTATTTTCCGTGTCCCCGAAGAGTTTTTTGAACGGACACGTACCGCACTGTCGCTGATAGGTCACTACCAGGAGGTGCCTTGCCACTTTCAGTTGTTAGACGCCTCTAAGACAGTCCTAGACTTTGATAAGGATAATGCAGAAGAAGTAGCTCGGAGTTGTTAAATACAATCACATAAAAGTATAGTTTCCCATATTCAAAATTATCTATGTTAAATTAATAATAATTAATAATCAAAACTTTGAATTTCGATTTTGAATATCGCGCGTTTTAGCTGCTCTCTATCGCTTGTTTCGCCTATCGTCTATCGCTTTCTATCCAGCTGTTTGACACAACGTGAGAAGCAGAAAAAATTACATAAAAATATATACGCCGGCATTTGGCAAGTTTTCAAGCAAACTGTGATGAATTAAGAGTTCCGCCCAGCGTATTTTGGAACATAAGAGCGTCAACCATAGAATGACTGATTCCCAATACTTGGATGTTAAGCTGTAAGTGGAAAACGTTCCATTTTCCGGGTGCCACACACACGTGCTGCTTTCGTAAATAATACGATCCATTGTTTTAGGAAACTTCGTGACACCGAATCTGTTGTACTGACGCCTGGCTACTTGAGTGGCTGCATTCTCAACTCCCTGGACAATTTGTTTGGAGAAATTGGAGGCAGGACATCGTTGGATATTGTGAAATTCAGTGCGGCAGATCGGCGACTTATCTTGCGAGTGCCCCAAGAGTTCGTTGAGCGGGCTCGTATCGCTGTAACCTTGATAGGCCACTACCAGGAGGTGCCGTGTCACTTTCAGGTGCTAAAAACATCCAATAAGCAGCTGGACTTTGACGACGTGGGACTTTAGTGCAAAGAGGGAACATTCGGCTTCAAGATGTCATTTTCATTTTGCAAAGAGTTTGGCAAGGACAAAGTCATCTTCGTTACGAAGGAAGACCATGCGACGCCCAGCACAATTGAGCTGCCGGCGCCAGAGCCGGCTGAGGGTGTAATCACAAAGGACGGCAAGATCAACTGGAGCTGTCCCTGCCTGGGCGGCATGGCCACGGGACCATGTGGCGTTGATTTCCGTGAGGCATTCAGTTGCTTCCAGTACAGCACTGCGGATCCCAAGGGCTCCGACTGCTTCGAGGCATTCACCAAAATGCGCGACTGCTTCCAGCAATATCCCACCGTCTACAATAAGGCCAATGGCGGCGTCGATGACGACGATGATGATCCACTAGCTGATGCCTTGCCCGCTGAAACTTCGACTGGAGTTCCAGCCAAGGAGGAGGCCCAGTCTAACGACACAGGGGCGAGTGACCCACCTGCTAAAGAGCCTCCGCAGAACAGCTCGGCGGTAGAGAAGATTCAATAAGGGATTAATTAATGATTGTGGATAAATAAAAGGTGCCGAAAATCCGTTAAAAATTTTTTTCTCTTTCATTTTTATTCAAATTGTTGCAAATACATATGTAAATTTTTCGATTTCAAAAGTTGTGCCTAAAAAATACCCCAGTTTAGCGATTATCCGTAGTGCGAAAGATATATCGCCTCGAAATGTATTGTCAACGAAAAATAAATATCGATATATTTATATATCAATATAGCATCCCTAGCTGACATATAAACACGTAAAAATATTAATTTCGTGACGAAAATGTTGTAAGCGCATTGTAAAATGCATAAAGTGCATATAAATCTCAGATGTGAGATGTTAAATCGCGAGTTAAATATCAAATCCGTGCAGAACTTCAAAGTGCAATAATACCCGAAGTGCAATCAGTTCAGTTGGAACTACAACAACAACAAATAACCTTGTGCTTGTGGCCGTTGTTTGTGATCAGAAATAAGTAATTGACGTTCAAGAAATAATGCAAAACTAAGTAGAAAGTCCACTGGGGGCATTCAAAAATATCAATAGCCAAATATCTAAAAAGTTTAACAGCAAAATACAGTGACTGTGACGTTGATTGTGTTAGTGGCACCAATACGGGCACAACGCAACACGCACACACACACACACACACACAGAAACGCGCATAGAGAATTTCAGCTAGTTTTTCATAAAACATACACATAAAAAAAGTAACAACACCAGACGCGATAATAAATTAATACAACAACAAAGGCAACAACGAAGAGTCTCAAAACGAGACTGGGAAAACACTCCGATAACAACAACACAACTACTAAGAGGAAACAACAAAAGCAATAAAATCAAGGAAGCCAACAGCCACCATCTCCACATCGACAGACTTTGAATGCTGCTGCATTTAAATCATTGGAGTCAAAATGGTTTCATTAATTGATACAATCGATGCGGCAGCGAAGGCGCAAAAACAGCGTAACGTCGCCGCCCCCGCTGCTGCTGCGGCATCCCCGAGCACCTCTACCACAGGCAGCGCATCGTCCAAGGCTCCTTCTGGCTCAGGGTCGAACCTGACTACCAGCGGCAAGCCCAAGGAGAAACGCAGGTGAGTCCCCACCCTAGGCCCATCCATTCCAAACGGATGTCTTTAGATCAGTTGCTTTGGCTATTGCATAAGCGCTTGCTTTCTTTTTCTCGCCACCGTCGCCGCCTCTGCTGCTGTTGCTGTAGGCTGCTGCTGCTGCTGCTGCTACTGCTGGTGCGGCGTCGCAGCAATCGGCTTCTATTGCTGTCGTCACGTTTTTCTCTCTCACTTTTCTGCACAAAAATGTATGTTTGTTTTTACAATTGCCGGATTGGAAGACTGGATGTAGTGGATAGTAGATGTGGGAATTGAATGGAAGGGCATTGCCTATCGGTGCTCTATCGATGATCTCTGCTGAACAAATGCGGGTGGTGGGTGGCAATCGGGAAATGATCAATTCCCTAGGGACAGGACTCCAGGATGATTTTCTTATCGGGTGTCCGTCAGTGGTTGATGACAATCGATCGAAAACAAAACAAACCAAAGCAAAAAAAAGATCAGGGAAATAATAGAAAACAAAAAAGCAAATCATCAATCACACATTCAACTAATTTTTGCATTTGCGATAATTATACAAGCTTGTGACGGAGGCAGACCGAGCGTAAAAGAGAACGCAGTGACCGAGACCCCTGTGACCTTGACCGAGCGAAAGACAAAACCATAAATCGCTACCTCGATGCATATGCATGGCTTGGATCGGATAGGTTTAGCTTGCACGTCATTATATGATACGATACCTAGCCACCAGTCGTACTATGAATGCGGAAACACTCAAAGAAACACTCGGCACTTGTTGCTGCACCAGGAGCGCGGTGGGGTCCTTCAAGACAGGCCTGCATCTATTTTTAGATCAGTGCATTGTTCTTTGTTTGTATCTCTCTGGCTCTTTAAACCGTAATTTGGGCTATTTATAACCGAAGAGCAGAGAGAAGACAAACCTGTTGCGTTCGATTATGTTCCAACCAACCCCTCACACCATCACAAATGTGCCCATGTCGATATAGTACATTGGAAAACCAACCTGTTTTATTTTTTTTTACCACATTTTATCAGATGTGTGTTTCTTTTTGTTTTTCGTGTGTATTTTGACTTCTGTGGCCACTGGACAGTATCCCTCCAGCTGCCCACGCCCCTCTTAAAAGTTGACTTTGTTAATCTCATAAAATGTTAAGTTTATGTTTTATTTAAAACATTTACATTGTACCAAAAACGTGGGCTAGGGGCCTACGTGACGGAGCCACTGAAAACTCAAGTCAAGTCAATGCAAAGCTAATCGCTGAAAAGTTGAAAAGCGGTTCTACTGTAGTCAATTGGAAACTCTGCCCAGCCCCCACACGCCTCGAAGAGACCGATTGACCGACCGACTGCAGCAGTAGTTTTCCCATTTAATCCGAACTGGTTATCCATGTAGCAATTTAATTATTACATTTGCCCATTGTTTTCAAGTGAAAGCTAATCGAAGTCCATAATGGTTGTCAAGGGAATGCATGGAATCGAGCGATTGCTAACGGTGATCGTAGCATGCACAAAACGCAGCTCTGATTTCGACCTTATGGCTCCCGCGCTGTCATCTGGCATCCAATTGAGGGGCAGACGAGAATTATGTGTATTGAAATCGTTTGTTTTAATTCGGTTTACACGCTTTTGCCAAGGTATTCGAAATAAACAGCGAAAACAAGACGCAGAAAACGACGAATAAAACTTAAAAAAAAAACAACAACTTAACAATAAAAAAATTTCAATACCAACGCACAGAAGTAAAATACACACACGCCACACACATGTAAACAGTACGCACATGTGTATACGTGGTGCATATGTATTTTGTAAAATATTTAAATGATATGCGTTGTTGTTGTGCTGGGTTGTTGTTGTTGTTGTGGCTGTTGTTGCTGGCCGCGGCAGCAGCAGCCGTAGCAGCCTCTGTCTGGCCAACGACGACCTACTTTTTGCGCAATCGAACTAAAAATGTGACGACACGGGGAGGGAATGGAGGATGGAATCAGCCCAACCAGCCCCAGACTGGAATGGGAGTGAGAGTGCGAGTGAGAGAGAGAGAGAGCGATGGTATTGTTTGTGTCCCGCATTAGGTCTCTTGTAGAGTTTTTGTTGTTAATTTCCTCGTCTTCTTTTCGTTTCGGTTTCTGTTTTTGTTGTTGCTCCCTCGGCTGCTTTGCCTCTCTTGATCCGCTACTTACTGCTGCTGCCGCTGTTGTTGTTGCTGTTCATGCTGCTGCTGCTGCTCTTCGATTGAATTGAACCTGGTGCAGCAGCAGTGGCAGCGACGCAGGCAGCGACAGAGGATTCTCTTTTTATACCCTGCCATGCGGCGGTTGCACTGCTTGTCGGAAGTTTGTGAAACAGAAAATAAGATAAGAGGATATCGTTTTGTGGGGTGCAAGGGAATGAAGAATCAGCTTAGCGGATGTTCAGATTATCGCTGCTGCAGTAGGGTATCCAAGATGCGACTTGGGGAAGGGCTGCTGTGGCCCCCACATCGCATTTATCCTCAGATTTGTGGTGTAAATTATGATTCTTTTTTTTTGCGCTGGCAGAGAAAGTTAATTTATGATTGTTGCTACCCTCGATGTATATTTCTTGGCCCATAAAGTGTACAAAATTGCGCAAAAATGCCGCTTTTTGTGATCATTCGAAATTCGAGGGTTGACTGTCTGTCGCTTGAGGGGAAGATGTAAAGAAATCCCACTAAAGCGAAGGATATTCATGTAGAGATAAGTTTGTCTTGATTAATAATTAATAATAATATATTACGCGTTACCCCACTAGGACTCCAGCGTTGTTTAGTGGCTGTAAGCCATGACTGACAGTTGTAGCATTCAGACAAACAAGCGGATGGAACGGACCATATAATTTCCCTTAGCCGGAGTTGATGGGCTCTTGACCCCGACTGTCGGGGGGACTGACAGTCGACAGTCTCCCTCCCTTTGGTTACAATTTAAGTTTTAGTTTTAGTTGCGATGCGATGGTTATGGCTGTGCCGCGTTGCTGCTATCTCGTTGTTTCACTTTCCTACTCGCATTATGTTTGCAAAACTAATTTAAATATTTAACTATTATGCTCCATAGATAATTATAATCTGTGCTCTCCACAGACAGAGTAGCAAAAAGATTCATCAAAACACGTTCGTACCGTACCGTACTGTCCGTCACAATATTTAGTCATTGTCTTTAGTTAGTCTTCTGGCTGTCTGTGTGGCTGGCGGTACTGCAGGGGTGTGAGTTATGGATCCTTTTGGGTCGTGTGCCGGGGTGTGGGTGGGGCTTTTCCCCGCTACGCGGCAAAGTATGCAACACGCTGCACGAAGCCTGATAATTAACAAAAAGCGGGACAAGTGGCGTGAACTGATATTAGTTGTAAATTATGTGCCTACAATTTGAATTCGCTACCAACCGTCCACCAACCCCACCTGCCCGAACAGGCGTTGTTATCTCTCCATGAATGAGTGCCCGTGCACCCCTCTCTTTCGCTCTCTCGCTTCCTCTCTTGCAGAGAGCTTGCAGCTCCCAACGGAATTCTGTTTTCTATTCGCTTCGGTTGCCTTTTATCTTATCGGTGCCGCGCACTTGTCCGGATAGCAAACTTCTGTCTGATACGAGACCAGAAAATCTGACGTTAATGTCAGACTATTTCTCTCTCTTTCCCTCTCTCTTTAATTGCGATTTTTGGTGCCTCCGGAACGGGTATAAATATGGTAACTCTGGAGCCATGGAACCTTTCGCTCATTCGCAGTCCGGACTCTTGTACGCCGTGTTTTTTAGTCGCTCCGCCTATATACAAAAGTGAAATAAAATAAAAGAAAAATCAAAATAGAAACACTAATTCCCCGCGCGCCATTATCATTCCCCTTTTATCAGAGCGGCGCGAGTGTGTGTCGGTTCTTTTTGGGACTCTTGGCTCTTGGCTCTTGTGTGTGCGTGCATAATCGATGGGCTTAGCCGGAGCGATAGATTCCAGCGATAGATTCCATGTTTAACTCATTCAATGCCTGGGAAAACTGCGACTTTTCCTGTCCCGGCGAGACTGCCACAGCCGCCTCGTGCTTCTATGGCGAGGATCCCTTCTTTGACTGCGACCTGAAGCCCCAGTTGGCCCTCGACAATGGCTCGGTGTACGGCTGCATGCCGATCAATGAGCCCACCGTGGACTTCAGCAATGGCAGTTTCTACAATGCAGCAGATCGAGCACCGATGCAGCAGCAGCAGCTGCCCCCGCAGCGTCCATTTGTGGGCGCCATGCTGGGTCCAAGTGCGCCTGCACTGCGTTACCATCCCTATCAGCAGCAGCAAGATGCCTTCTACCAGCAGAGCGGCAGCCTGCTGAACGTGTCCACGCCCTGCCGCGAGAGTCGCCCCTGGAGCTATGCCCACTGCTATGGCTACACGCCCACAAACACCCAGCCCTGCCAGTTCTCGCAGTTTGTGGATATCGAGGATTTTATGTAAGTGGGTGGCAGAGACAGAGGCAGAGGCAGAGAGAAGCCTCAAGCTACCAACGGAGCTCTTATCTATGCTTATTTGTTGTTCGTTTTATAATACAATAATATTTAGATACGAATGAACAAACACACACACACACACACAGACATTGACTGACAGACTGTCGTCGACTGATAGGCGACATTTTTGAGTGTCTCCAATGAGTCAAGGCAAGGTCCGTTGGGTTTGCCCCAAAAAATAACAGACGCGGGGAACTTTCCCTCTCATTACGTTCCATAACTACTTCCAATAATTGGGTGGTAGCCTCTGCTGGTGGGGGCGCTGTGAATGCTTCGACTTGCTGCCCCAATCTGCCTATTGATAAAAGAATTCAACAATCAAAAGAGTGCTCCCTTGATATTAAGACTGCTTGAATACCCCCCAAAATGCACGCTAAATGTGTGTCCTAGAAGAGGGTTCCTCTTGGAACACCAGATACATCCTCGACTGTCGTTTCCCCATAGGTGCACTCTGGCAGAATCGTAGAAATGAAAGAATATTCAGATTCTGAATCGTTTACATATCGAATATACCCTTTGGAATTGCCGAAATGGCGGATTTCGTTTTGTTGTGAAACTGTTATCTACGTCGATCGCTTTTATGTTGGGTGTTTCCCAAAAAAAATTACTATAGCACGTGGCAGCTTGGCAACAAAGGAAGGCCGTGAGTCCGTAACATTTACAACAAGTTCTCCCGCTCTGACGCAGTTCCCAGATCTTCTCTGCATTCAAGCGGCGTGTCCCATGCGTTGGCCAGTTATGGCAATGAGAAGTAGAATCCGATTTGTGTTTACATTTTGCACACGCCTTGGGGGCTCCCAAATGGTGTTTGCCCATCTCAATGCTAATGCGATTTGGCGACTGTTGACTGACGTACAGTGCAACACGGTTATCGCCACCAGCGATAGATTTATGCTCCGCCAAACACTTCCCCGTGACCTGTGCCGCTATTTACAGCCGCATTAACTTGATATTGTCACCTGCGATTGTAACTCAAAGTGGCAGCATAGATACTCTCTGCGCAGAGTGTGATCCCCGCGAGGGGGTAAGGGTTCAAGGCTTGTCTAGGGAGCTAAGTGCGTTTCTCCATGCCCACGTGAATGGAGCATGCCAAGAGCTACAGGTCCCCTTGGGACTGCGTTTTGGAGCGGAAATACTTAACAACAATAGCAGCAAAAGCAGCAAAAGTAGCAATAACAATTCCATTCCGCACAAGCTGCTGGCTGGCTTGCTGGCATGGCACTCTCTGAATATTTAAAAAGCAACAATATTTGCTTCTGTTCTAATGAGCATTCGATGGTGGGATCGCACTTTCCGCAGCACTCCCGCTGTCTCTCTCACTCTTCCACCATATAAGCAGGCCATTAGCATGCAATCAAAGCCGTTCGCTTTGCTTTCTATGGATGGAGGCGACACCCACACACAGCTATCGGTCATTCAGGCGCACAAACATTATTTATTTATACACAAAATAATCAAAATGAACACAAAAGTGAGCAGACTACATATATTACAGTAAAAGCGGAGTACGACACTCCACTGATAGGGAAATGAAATATTAGGAGAGTTATCTAAGCGGCAGCTGCATATTATTCTGTTCGATTTTTGCAGTTTTTAAGCTGTTTGAAGATGACTGACAATGAAAAATCCCTGCCTTTTCTGTCACTTTTCTCTTTCTTTTGCGGCACATAAAAAGATGATATTTTTAGGCTTTGTTTTAGCTGCACAACGAAGTGTTTAATACACTTTTCTGTGGCTGTTTTCTTGCTGAGATCTGCAATCAATATCTAGTTGAAAAATCAAGACAGAAAATGGATTTCGTCTCCGAGATTTGTCCCTATTTTCACACACTTTTTGGCAGGATTTTCTTAAACTCGAGGCTCGACACGCACAAGTGAATGCTGTCAAAGAGAATGCCAAAGAATATGAAACATATTCGTCGTACATGTCGTGTGTATGTAGAGCCTGATTGATGCTCGACTTGAGTTTAGCTGATAAGAGTGTTGCTTCCTTTGGTGTTGCTAAAGCAGGGGCTAGGCCCCTACTCATAAAGGCTATGGAGAGATGATACCACCGCAGACATTTAATGGACAGCCGCTATGGGGCTATGGGCTTGCGTAGATTGCAGTTTCCATTGTCTTTGACTAAGGCGGCGGCGACTGATATGGGAATGCCTGACAGCTGAGGAACTACTGAGGCGGCAACCAACTGTTGCCAGGTGACCGCTCTTTGTCTTTACCCCTTAGGACGGGGGATAAAGGGCCGGTCAATACTGCGTTGGCGAATTTTGGTATTCAATTTGAGGTTTGCCGCACGATCAACAAGCGAGCTACGTGCGAAATCCACCGTCGTGTCGTGTCTATGGATTATATAAGTCGAATTTGCGAATGAGTAATAAATAAATACTAAGATTTTATTATATTTCATGTACGTAGCGGAGACACGGTTTATGTTGGGGCTGGTCGGATTAGTTCCGTTTGCATCACGAGATTTTCTTGGCAAAGACTCTGGCATGTCGTTGCCATTCGCAGAATTTCCCAAAATAGTTTCTGTGCATGTACTTTCCCCATGTGCCACTGTCTGTCTGTCTGTGTGGTGGGGTCAGTGCCCTGCCCATACCCCATAGAGTGTGAGAATCAAAGAATTATAAGGGTATTTTCTATTTCTTATATTATCTTATCTCGCATTGAGCGGCAGAGCTGAAGAATCTATCTCCCTGCTGCTGAAATTTCTGCGCGGAGTCTCCGTCTCTAACGCTGTCTCGGGATTGGCGCCCGGGGCCAGCCAACCAGTCTTATCAGTCGAACGTGTGACTGCTGGCTATTTTCGGCTCTTCTCGAGAACTCACCTTATCTAAGGCCCCCTCATTGCTTTGACATTGCCCAATCCCACCCCCAAAAATAAAAAACACACAAAGCACCGCCACCTGAGATTCGTGGTAGGTCAGGATTCTCTCTCGCTCTCTCTCTCTCTCTCTCTCTCTCTCTTTAGATCTCTGCATGCAAGGTGAACTTACTTACCAGGTGCCGTTGTCCGCTGTGGGGAGAACCAATCAGTTATTCACCACGCTCAGAGTTACAAGCGCTAGAAAGGGAGGGAGTTAGAGATATTGTGGTGAAGACTGTTTGGGATGAACTCTTTCTGTCCCGCTTTCGCTTTTGTTTTTGTTGCCTGGCAACCGACGAGATGTTTCGCAGATTTTTTTGCTGCGAATTTGTGTTGCTCAATTGAAAAATTGGCGAACGCTGTGCCGTGACGCGCGGAATTGAATCAAATTCAATCAAATGCAGCAATTGAAATGCACGCATATGACCCTCCCCTCTTTGCTCCCTAAAGTCTGGCCTACGTGATCACGATCTGTACTCACTTCGCACTCTCTCTTTCTGTTCTCTCTCTTCATCAGGAACAATGAGAAGCGCAAGGAGAAATCCCGCGATGCGGCACGTTGTCGCCGCTCCAAGGAGACGGAAATCTTTATGGAACTCTCGCAGGTGCTGCCCCTGAAGAACGACGATGTGAATCAGCTGGACAAGGCATCCGTGATGCGCATCACAATTGCTTTTCTCAAGATACGTGAAATGTTGCAGTTTGGTAAGTCTTTCCCCTACCCTTTTCTGCTCTTTCTGATCGAGTAATTTATGAATTTCCATTTTCAGTGCCTGCTTTGCGCGATTGCAAGGATAATCAAAAGGACATCAAGCAGGATATTGATGAGTTGAAGCCCAAGCTGGAGCTGAACAGCGAGGAGTGGCTCAATGGCACCGCCGAAGCCAGCCAGCTGCTAAAGGAGACCATGGACGGGTTTCTGCTGGTACTGTCCCACGAGGGCGACATTACCTACGTCTCCGAGAACGTAGTCGAGTACTTGGGCATCACAAAGGTAAGAGATGGGAGCTGCTGAAAGTTAATTCTTTATACTAAAACATTTCCTACGTTCAATTGCAGATTGACACTCTGGGCCAGCCCATCTGGGAGTACGCGCATCAGTGCGATCATGCGGAAATCAAGGAGGCTCTCAACCAGAAGCGTCCCGGCACTGCACCAGTGAAGGATGAGCAGCAGCTCGAGTCTGGCGTGAGCACCCATCATCGGGATCTGTTTGTGCGCTTGAAGTGCACTTTGACCAACCGCGGACGCAGCATCAACATCAAGAGTGCCCTCTACAAGGTGCGTGCACATGTCAGCTAATCGTCGTCGCTCTCTACTAATCTCTGTGAACCCTTTTGGCAGGTCATACACATCACGGGACACTTGGTGGTCAATGGCAAGGGCGAGCGTGTGCTCATAGCCATTGGGCGACCCATACCGAACCCCGCGAACATTGAGATACCGCTGGGCACCAGCACCTTTCTCACTAAGCACTCTCTGGACATGCGTTTCACCTATGTGGATGATAAGTGAGAATCCTCTCAAAGATTTCCCAATTCCCATTTTAACTCCATTTCTTGTTGTTGCTTCCAGAATGCTTGGTTTGCTCGGCTATGCGCCCAATGATCTTTTGGACACTTCGCTGTTTGGCTGCCAGCATGGCGCAGACTCGGAACGCCTCATGGCCACCTTCAAGAGCGGTGAGTGGACGCCCGCGATTCATTAAAACTAACGGCCCAGACCCAGAGTCCAGCTAATGCTAAACTAATTACTTAAATGTGCAAATTAAAGCGCGTTCCTCGTTAGTTGCTGCCACGAAATGGCAGAGGGGGAGAGTGTGGAGCAGGAACAGGAACAGGAAGGATGCGGCATCCTGGGCATCAAAACGAAGTTGTCACTCGCCCGAGAACATTACCTGTTCCGCCAGTCCATCCAGCAGCAGCAGCAGCAGCAGTTGCCATAGCTTATTGCATTTAATTAGTTGTAGCACCTCTCGCTCCCCTGTCGCTCCCTCTCAGTGGGGAGGGACAAAGGCCATTAGTCTGTGACTTGGCTGTAGCTCTGGCTCTGCTTTAATTTCACTTTAGTTGCTAATTAGCTTTTGTGAAACTAAATGAATTGGTCAGGCGCGAGGCGGACGACAGGAAGACATTCTCTGTGCTTCGTTGACAACAACTTTTGAGGCTGTGATTCAGTTATGTTTCCATGAATTCCATTCCAACTAGCCAAATGCCAAACTAAAACTTCAACTAAATTATGTTTTACTGATTGGGCAAGGCATTTGGCGCTGCTTCCCCTGACTCAGGCAGGGGCTTGCCATTAAGGCTTAAGGTTTATTGGTCAAAGGCCAGAGATATGTACATGCTGCCCCTCGAAATCAATCCATTACCACCTATCATGCTTAGCAAAGCCTTCCAGCGCTCATTTGCAATCAATTTTCATAAGCCAATAGATAAATTTATATTTCTGGCTGTTGCTTGTGGAATGAAGTAATTTCTGTGTGGGTTTGTGGCAAGGGGTCTGTCTCCATGATTAAAGCCATGGACCGCAGCATTAAGTACTTTTACCCGCTCTTCCCTTTCCCCTCCATGTTATTGTTTGCTTATTTGTTGCTCTTAATGGCCGCGTCATGTCGTCTACATTGACCAAATAATGTTACCACTGCCGCTGCTGCGCTGTTGCTGCTGCTGCTGCTGCTGCTGCTTAGTTTTGTGTGTGTTGCATGCTTCCATGGTGCACTTAAAACGCCAACGTTGGGCAATAAAAACTCCGCTGCTGCTGCTGCTGCGCTGACCATTGTTTGGGGTACATTGTACCCAAAAGTGGCCAAAAGTGCGGGTGCATCTTTTGCAGCAACGAAAAAAAAAAAACAGAAAATAGAAGTAGAAGTAGAAGTAGAAGAAAATTGTCACTGCACTACAATTGGAATTATTATTGGCTGCGATGACTTTGGCTTCTTGGCTGGACACAGTCACCTCCCTTTTCCCTACACCCCCCTGGGCACTGCTAGACACGTTCTGTGCGAAATGACTTTCGGTTTTATGATGCGACGTATCCATTTGACCAGGACACCAGCAGGACACGCGGCGGCTTCTGCAGATGCAACTGCTGCTGCTGCTGCGCTTCAGCAAGGAATTCGCGCGCTCTCTCTGTCTTCTCAGCTCTCTCATATCGTTAGCAAAAAACTTGCCAGCAAGTTGTAAAAATGTCTTCGAAAGTCGTAAAAGTATTTCTTTTTCATACATTTTTGTTTTTATTAAGTTGCTCCTTTTCGCGTTGCTCCTTCCTTCCTGCTCCGTAAGTTGTTCCTTCTTTGGGCAAAGCTTGTTCAGCTTCGTGTACTTCGTCGTATTATTGTTTATGAGTGCTGTCCGTTTTTATTTCCGTTTGATTTTCATAAAGTTTACATGGCTTTGCTTAGCCACAGTCGGTCCGCCCTGCCTTGCCATCGATAAAGATGATGGAGCCTGAGGAATTGAGAAACTATGGGGCAGCTTTGGGGCAGCAATGCAGCAGCTACATGTGTGGCAGCTGCTGCTGGCAAAAGCTCACACACAAGATACCCAAACGCCATGTGACAAACAGTTCAATAAAGTACGCAAAATGTGCGGAAAATCGCAAATGTCATGTGGGTGAGCGAAAATCTCGAAGCGTTTACCATTTGTGCCCCACGCGTGAGAGTTGCTGCCATGGCATGCCCTGCCTGCTGCTGTGTGTGTATTGAAATGGAAATGGAAATGGGAAATTGCGTTCAAGCATTTCCATGCTGCAAATAAAGACGGCAATTTGGCCGCAAGGCGAAAAATTATGAAACGCAAAGGAAAAGGAATCTAAGAAGCAGCAGGAGAACTTGCAGCAGCATCGCAGCAGGACCCAGAGTAAACTTAACGTGGCAGATAAATATCCACTGACAGACAGAACGACAGACAGACAGACAGACGCAGGGCAGATAAGGGGAAAATGGAGCTAAAGCTGTGTGGCAGTGGCAGTGGCAGAAAAGTGTTGCAATAAATTTGGTAAAGCAACAAAAAACAATACCGAAAAGTGGCTTTGGCAGATTTTGTGCTGCGTGTGAAAAGTTCTTCGATAAGTTTGGGGCAATGGAGGGTGGCAAATAGTGTGGCTGGGCAGGGGAGGAGCAGTAAGGGGGAATTGCATTTTCAGTGACTGCTGCAGTCGGGGGCATTGCCGCGGCATTTGCCAGACATTCAACTTTCAACTCTTGCAAACAGCAGCAGCAGAGGACTAGGAATAGGAAGCAGAGTTTCTGCGCTGTTTGTTTGTATCTCCTAGGGCTTCCTGTGGGGGGTTGCGCCAAGACAGGACCCTCTGCTGACACTGGCACGTGCCGATGGAGGGGAAATCCTTGCTGGGGCTGGCCTACGCGGGGCCTCCACGATCCTCTGCCTGGATTTCAAGTGCAACTTTTTGGCTTTTCAACTTTATTTCCATTTGCTCCCGCTCCAGTGCTATCTCTTTTCGGTTGTGTAATCAACATAACAAGCAACTGCCAGTTTACGAGTCTGTTAATGGTTCATGCACCAGGAAGCACCCACACACATGCACATGCAGGATGCACACACACACACACCCCCTGGAGACACCCTGCCAGACGAGAGCTTCCTGTGGCACGTCGCGTGGCACGTCTGGCGCTCGGCCCAAACCGTACCGAATGTTCGCTTCCTGCCAAAAGTGTCGATGATGCCTGACGCTTAGTGCTGCCAAGTCGTTGCACTCATCAGTCTGTCCACCTCTTTTACAGTGTCTCACCGAAACACCCACTCGAAACAGTGGCACACAATACTTTATTTATCTTCTGCGGGCCAAGCAGGCACACTGATGCCAGAGAGTGCGAAAAAGTGGCAAACGCATTGGCAGCACTGATATTTCTTTTCATACGATGGGCAGCACTATCCCTTAAATTCTCTTTGTTGAATATTGCCTGCGCTCCCACCGCTTGGCCGCACTTTTCTCTCTCTTATTACCATCACTTGGCAGCACTCTCATGACAGCACTCTTTCCACTGTGCCCACTGGCACTTTTGATGTTAATGCAACTAAATTTAGTTCGCGGCAAAAGTGGGCGTGGCCACGGGACACGGGTTGTTGCAGTTGCCGCCGTCGATGCCGCCGCATTTTATTACATGCATAATTCCGCCAGGGGATCGACATTGGACCGCGGTCCACTCTGCCCAGGACACGCCTCGTCCCGCTGCTCGTCTCTTATTTATTCTTGTTTGCCATCGTCCCAGTCGTCGTCGCCGTCGTCGTCGTCGTTTGCCGCGTCTGGGCCATGAAAAGCGCCAAACTAATGCAGTCGAAACTAATGGTCCAATTCGAGTGGCTCGACGGCATCCTCATTTCGGCTGTCCCTCGTCTGCACTGAAAGTAGTAATCCTGTCGCGCTGTGCACTGCGCTGCTCTGTGCTGCTCTGTGCTCTCTCTGCTGCTGTGCCTCGCGTGGATTGTTAAATTTTCGAGTTAATTTTAGCATCCTCTTCGCTTTGCCGTCGCTTGCATTTGACAAATTAAAATTGCATGAGCGGAAATGCGGCTTAAAGTTGCGCCGGATGTGGTGCTTAGGAGTTAGCAGCCCGAAGCCCGAAGCCCGAAGCCCGCTTCTTGCGGTAGTTTTTCTACCCGAAATAAATTACTTTTCCAGGGAGCTGCACACTGCAGTTGAGTCCCCGCTTGCCTGCTCAACAGGTGGCAGGAGTCGAGGGGGTTTAAGTCTCTTTAAAGACTCATAAAATACTGTAGGCTGAAGGCAGCCGAAAGTTCATTCCCCAGGATAATGTTAATGAACTGCAACGGAACTGCCGTGGCTGCCAGGTGGCTGTTGGCCAGTCTCTTCTCTTACCTGTTGATTTATGGAGTCCACCCTCGCCCTCGCAGGCACTCGCTTAATTTGCCAGAGTTTATTAAATATGCCGGGGCTACGTGAGTGCCTCGAGCTGAGCTGCAGCTCCCGTGGATGGGATGCCATTAGTTGCCTCCTTGGGTTGGGGGTTGCAAGTGGAAATTCCTGTTTCGCGTAACCATTTCCCCAAAGGATGCACTCGCTGGCTGGCTGGTTATTTTCTGGCTAAGCCGAATGGCTCTATTTGCTGCCAGCTTCCCCACCTGCCCCTCGCCGACAATCTTTGGCCATCTTTGAGCTTTGAGCTCTGGGCTGTGTGCGCACCTCTGGCGTCTGCAGATATTTCATTTCATTTGTGTCCGCTGTTGTGTCCGGGCAGTGACTTATGATGATGAATGTAAATGCAGCAGCACTTTCTTATCCTTCAGGCAGTTTTCGGGCAAGGATTTCCACGCTTTAAAGTTGCACAGCGGCTGCTCTGCGCTTTGCCTTTTCTCCTCGCTACGTGCCTGAGTCAATTGTCACGTCAGAAATGGTCCGCACGGGGTCCGTTTTGTGCTGCTAACAAATGTGGCAACAATTTGAAGCCACTTCCTTCCTTCTTCTCTGAGAGAGAGCGAGCGAGCGAGCGAGCGAGCAGTCGCCTCTGTCCTGTTTGGCATATCAAATTAGATAACGATTCCATTGAACTGCTGCTGCAACAATGGGTGTGCCCCTGTCCTCTTCTCTGTTGCATCTTCCTGGGGCAAATGCGTTAATAACATTTAACGTGCGTGCCACTGCAACCTACCCCCTGCCACCCCACCCGGCTAATGACATTTCCCGAAGTTCATTTCGATTC